TGTCCATGAAAAATATAAATGTTATAGTAAATTCCATGTGGACCCCAACTATTAAAGAAAGCAGTGCCACATAAAATGTTGATACACTGGGTAATTTTACCTTAAACTTAACCTCTTAGGAAATGATACAAAATTTTTTATATAACATAAATCTTTTATATTAATATACAAACATATTTAATTGACTAAAATAAGGTAGTCCTTACAAATTTCATTTCAAAATATGAGAATTATGGCAAATCTCCTAAGATGCCTAAATGTCCAAGAAAATGCACTAAATCACTACAAAATATGAAAATTTTACCTGATTATATGAGCCTTGGAATTTAAACAAAGCTATAAGAGGAACATTAATCTATCATATTAATTAACAAACGTATCTAATTGACTAAAGTAAGGAAGTCCCACCAAATTTCATTACAAAATATAAGAGTTATTGCAAATTTCCTGAGATACCTTACTGTCTTAAGATAGAAACACTAATTCACTACAAAATGGGGATTTTTACCTTATTATAACAGCCTAGGACATGAAACAGAATTATAAGTGCAACATAAATCTATTATATTAATTAACAAGCATATCTCATTGATTAAAGTAAGAATATCTCAATAAATTACATTTAATATTAAAAAAATTATGGCTTATTTCCTATTATGTATAACTATACAAGCTTACACACTAATTCATTAAAAATGGGAGTAATATTACCTGATTATAACCTCATGGTAAATGAATCAAAGTTAGTTAAGCAACACAGTATTATTATATTAAGTAATACCTACATCAAATTGACTTATATAAGAAAATCCCAAAAATTTCATTGAAAGTTAAGAAATAATGGCAAACTTTCTTTAATGCCTTATTGATAACTTTACCACACTAAATCATTGAAAATTTGGGTAAGTTTACCTATTTATAACCTTCTGGTCAAGTAAAGCCAAATAATGTTATACTATCAAGTACAACTACATCTAATTGACTAAAATAAGAAAACCCCATTGAATTATATTGACAATGAAGAAAGATAGGGTAAATTTTCTATGATGCCTATTTGTTCAAGCAAATACATCACATCTTTAAAAATGGGGGTAATTTTACCTTATTATAACCTCCTAGGAAATGAAACTAAGTTAGTAAGGCAACATATTACTATAATATTGAGTAACAATTACATCTGTTTGATTGATATGGAAAAAAAATCCACCAAATTTCATTAAAAAATAAAAAAAGGTATGGCAAATGTCCTATAATGCAGACACTGAGGTGTTCAGATCCACTATCAGTAAGGAAATGTTCCCTTCCCTGTCAGGGGACCATTACTGGCATGGTATATGGAAACACAAAAAGGATACTGTAAAACTGAATTTTTCATTTCTACAGCTAAGAACTGTTCACTATTGACGGGAGGAGTATGCAAGCGGACTGATAGCTTAGCCGGTAGTCAGCTTCGACACTGTATTCAAGGGGTCCCGGGCTCAAGTCCAAGTCAGGCTGCATATTTAAAGTGTGCCTTTACACAATGTTTGTATAACGCTAATGACGTCATGTCAATTATATGCACAGATGTGCAATACCATATTTACGGAGTGGCAAAATTGGCACCTGTGTGTGATAAAGCATTATATTATCACACACCAGTGCCGATTTTGCGACTCCGTAAATATGGCATTGTACGGCCGTGCATATATTTCGACGTGACGTCACGTCATTAGCGTTATACAAACATAGTGTAAAGACATGCTAAATGTTAGCGTTAAACTAAAGGCGCGTCAAAGAAAAATGACTCTGATTTCACTTTAAACGGTCTGTCACAGGGTGAGAAAAATGTGCAGCCTGACTGGGACTCGAACCCGGGACCCTCGGAATACCGTACCGCGGCTCTACCGACTGAGCTATCCGGCCGCTTACACATCTTCTCCCCTATATAGTGAACAGTTCTGAACCGTGACATACTCCCCTGCTATATTGAAATTCGTCCTCGAATTTCACAGAGTTACAGAGCAATGTGAATTAAACTCTGAGCTGTATTCAGTCATGGTCCCCCGTTGGGCGCCAAATGTCACAGGGTGAGAAAAATGTGCAGCCTGACCGGGACTCGAACCCGGGACCCTCGGAATACCGTACCGCGGCTCTACCGACTGAGCTATTCGGCCGCTTACACATCTTCTCCCCTATATAGTGAACAGTTCTGAACCGTGACAGGTCTTTATTTTTAGTATGTGTTAAATAGAATATTATATTAAATTTGTGTATAACTTCATTACTGAATTTATTGCACTCATTGAATAAAGTAAATATTATGCTCACCAGCTAGAGGTCACATAATATAATTTTATTCAACTCGTGCAATAAATTCAGCATTGAACTAACACTCATTCAATATCCTCTTTTTAATACATATTAAGCGCACGTCAATAAATTTCAATTTTAAGTGATATGAAAAATAATTTCTGTTGCGCTGTCTTTGTAAATCCAATAACTTTACATCACAACCGATTTCCTTATTTTCCTCATTTTTTTACTCTCGACTACTGTTTCAGACCTAAAATAAAATTGCGTTCTTAATATTTATATATACTCATATATTGTAATGCCCTAGAAATTTTACCTCTTTTTGTGATTTCACTGGATTTCGGTAGACTGTTTATTTCTACTTTCACTTTCGTTTTGAGAAGATTTTACTGGCGACAAGACAAGATAAATCATGCGGTGTCCTAATGAAACATACAGGACATCAACTTAAATCTACGTATTGTGCCAGCAATTTAATCATTCCTGATTCTGGAAGCTTTTCCCTTTATGTTATCCATTTCCCTTAATGTTATCCGTGGTAGAATCCTGTGTTTTTAATCTGTTTTCGTGACTTCTGTCAAAATAGTTTATTCCTTTATTTTACACTCAAGATTATATAGTTCGATTGTTTATGATGCAGCCTCACTTAATATATACAGTAGATATGCCTCATAAATCCATCTGAATTTATTTGTTAGCACTGTACTGTATATTTATAAAAATTTGCTATGCATAATTCAATGTCGGCCATGTTGGACTATTACGTAGAGATTACGTAGTGAATGCAAGGGATAGGGGGCAAGGGATAGTTCTTTATTTGATTGCGCATAAAAAGGAACACGTTATCCTAACTATTTTACTTTCGATATTAGCGCTAGATAGCTTATAAATATTTCTAAAATCATTTGTTGAGGCTGTGACAAAAATTAATTTCGGTGGTATAGGTTGAGTGCATTTCAGTTCTTACATAAACTCGTTTAAAATACAATGTACATTTCTAGCTACCATATAGATCTATTTGATAATCAAAATTTATCGCTAAACGATCTACATGTAGCTAAAGTTGTTAAAAACCTAAAATGATTACGATGTTTTAATAAAGGTTAAGAAACGTTTTCATTTTGCGTGCGTTTTAGCGTGCGTATATCGTTTAGCGTATTTCGTTTAGCGTATATCGTTTTGCGTGCGTCTGCGTATTTCGTTTCGTTTAGCGTGCGTATAACGTGCGTTCGTATAGCGTGTAACGTGCGTTCGTATAGCGTGTAACGTGCGTTTTGCGTGTAAACTGACACGTTCACCCTACTGTAGTATGTGAGTGTGGACATTGTGTTATTGATTATGTGTTATTATTATTTTAAACACAATATGACTAGAAACAGTTTTTATTCATTAGACTACAGGCTACAAAACTATATATTGAAAAGTTAAGTGAGATTATAAATTAATCACAGGCTTCTATTTTTTTAATGTACCTTGTGTGTTTGTTTTGTTTGTTTATATATATGTATGTCTTTGTATGTATGTATGTTTGTATGTATGTATTTATCTGTGTTCAAAATAAACGGGGTTACCATTTAAGGCCCTCAAAAAAAAAAAAAAATATGCAAGGTCAAGGTCACTAAAGATGGTGAAATATCCAGATTTTGTCTGGAGCATATCTCCTACATGTATGGAAGAATTTTTATAATACTTTATGGAAATGTTCACCACCATGATATGTTTTGCTCCATGCATGATCCAGGTCTCCAGGTCAAAGGTCAAGGTCACACTTAGAGCTCATTGAAAAACGCTTGTCCGGAGCAAAACTTCTACATTCATAGGGGGATTTCAATATAACTTGGCACAAATGTTCACCATTGTGAGGCTGAGTGTCGCACGCAAAATTCAGATCCCTGCGACCAAAGTCAATGTTACACATAGAGGTCAAAGTTCAGATAAAAATTTGAAGATGTGTATAGGGACCGTTTAGTCATCATTTATTGATGGATTGTAGCACAAATGGTAACTATCATGACTACAGGTGTGACACATTTAATTTAGGTTAATATTTGCAAGGTCAAGGTCACTGGAGATGATTAAATATCCAGATGTTGTCCGGAGCATATTTTCTACATGCATGGAGGAATTTTAATGTTACTTTATAGAATTGTTCACCACCATGAGACGTAGTGCCCTGCACATGAACCAAGTCTCTAGGTCAAAGGTGAAGGTCACAGTTAGAGCTCATAGAAAAACGCTTGTCTGGAGCAAAACTTCTACATGCATAGAGGGATTTCAATATAATTTGGCACAAATGTTCATCATTGTGAGGCTGAGTGCCGTGCATAAAATTCAGGTCCCTGCGACCAAGGTCAAGGTCACACATCCTGTGCATATCTTCCCTACTGATTTGTTTTAAGGTTCATTTAACAACACAGTGCCAAGAATAAAAACTTGCTTGCTAGATAACACTTATCCATAATGCCCCCATCTCCATCTAAAGCTTTCGTAAACGGGCGTATTTTGTGACTATTACACCCTTGTTAATATTGGATTTCCTAAATATTTAATGAACCCAATACAACAAATTTTATTTTTTGTTGTGTAAGGCGTATAAATCTTTCATTTTGAGCATGCTAAGTAAAGTGTTTACAAACACTTTAATATTAATATTAGGATATAAGATTAAGTAGTTTTATGTTAGCTTGATACATTTATTTTTGTAGAATCCAATGGGAGCGGATTATTGTTATGAAGCTGTTTATAGAACACATATGCCTAACCAGTGAGGAGAAAACATACATTAATTATTGTATGCCTTTATGGAAAGTAAGATTGCCATTTGACGTATGAAAGGAAATACAGGAAAACAATATAACAAACGCTTTTGTGTACTTTCTTTTATGTTCTTATAATGGCTGTGAGTCAAGCGTCTTTTAATCGTAATAACAGATGACTAACTACAATAAGTGATATATCAAGATTAAAAAATAATTTGGCAAATGCTTTTAAATATTTAACACTACAAATGGTCCTTTGAAAGCAACATTCTGTATTTGTTTAATAATGTTTTATTTTTTATTTGTTTAAGCAATTGTGTAAATTAGGCGACGCTATAAACATGAAAATGGTTGAACCCATTCAAAAGTTGGAGAATTTTATGAAGCAGATTAACAAAAAGCACGTAAAGAATCTTTTAGGGTAAGTATCATCTATTTGTATAAAATGTTTATTGTCAGAAAAAGTATAACCCTTCATAAAAACATGTTATTTGACACAAATATCGTTGAGAAGAACAACGCTGTAATCATTGGTATTTAAAAATGTTGAATGCTTTATTTAATGTGTGTTACATTGGGATATAATTATGTTTGCAATATGAATAAAGTGTTTGATTTCGTGTGTTATGGTATGGTAATTGCCAAAAGGTTTAGTATATTTCACTTTATTTCACTTTAATAATACTCATATATATAAAACAGTTATCTGTTGCAACTTTCTAACACCTTCGTCGTTTATGTTATAATCACTTACTTTTGAAATCTTAACTTATTTCACGAGAAATTATATCAATGAAGTATTAGTTATTGTGGTCATTTAAAGTACATGTTCTTTTGTATAATTTTTTTTCAGGGATGCAAGCAAATGCTCCCAATGTGAACGTATGCTAGACACTGTGCCAGTAAAGCTGCCTTGCGGAGATTTGATATGTACAGGATGTTTTCAGGGCTTGAAAATAAGGACAAGAAAATGTGTTACATGTAAAAATGAATTTGCTGAAGACTGGGAACCGACTGCAGGAAATCAAAATCTGAAAGAGTATATGATCATATAAAATAATTTGAACATTTTTATATAACGAACTCAAAATTAGAATATTTCTTTAAAAAGGGCAGTTTTCTACGCTTATAATGTTTGCCTTTTTCATTTCAAAAGGAAGATAAAAGAAAGTTTTATTTAGTGCTATAAGTACTATAATACCATTTTGTTTCTTTATTCAATAACTTAGAAAATATATGTCAATAGGAAGAAGAAGAAAAAATTCAATCTCTTGAAATTCAATATAATACTCTCAACCATTGAACCAGAAGAATTTAGAAGATAGAATATCATAAGATAAAGATCATAGAGGAATGTTTTGTAAAAGAATAGAAAAATTGGTTGTCAATTGCCTTCGAGTGAAACAATTCTCACGCTAGTTATGCTATGTTAAAGAACACACGTATGTACCAGAACTAATTTCTACGCTACCTACATTTCACACATCTTAAACTAAAGTAACAAACATATATACATTCGTTACCATTCGATATTTATATGTTAAACACACAAATATAAAATAATTATTAACACGTTATGTGCGATGAAGAGCTGATTTGCACCATATTTCATATCATTCTACTGCGTGACTTAGTCAGTAAAACCAATTTTTGGTAATTTACGTGGATTGTAAGTTCCGTTTGTAATGAGTAAATTATATTCTTTTTACAATTTTATACCTTAAAATACATTTCCTTTATACACTAGCACAATTTAACAATTCTGTAAGCATGCTGCCTAAATAGACATAAACAAAACCAAGTATTTTAGTGGTTCACCCTTAAAACAAAAAATAACGGACACTTCTTAAAGAAAATGTGTAATAATTTTTTGTTTCAGTGCTTCAAATAGCTGCCCGCTGCAGCAATTGCAATGTAAACTATTTATGAACGTTTTGTGAAATAAGAGCCCTCCCCTCACAAACAGTTTACCGTAAGATTTAAAAAAATAATTGCAATGATTGCACACATCGCGTATATGTTCCCATTCCTATACTACACAGTGGTTGATTATCCGTTTTATTATTAATAAACGTTTCACATAAATGTGATTTACCTGTAAATTTATAGAAACAGCATAATGACGTTGTCATCAATGTAATGCACATGTATCAATAAATAAGATATATTGCATATAGTTCAAGGATGCGTAAGTTATCGAGGAATCAACACGAAAAATTTCATTTTGTTGGCTTTCAGCAATTTTATACCTGAAATAACTGTTGACTCTTAATGAAATCATCAACCATTCTGCCCGGATGGCACTATGTCAGGCATTAAGATAGCTTAGACCATTACGTTTGATTTAAGGCTATGAGACACGCATGATATACCATGTGCGTCTCGGAAATTCAAGATGACTGCCGTTTTAACAAAAATTGGTCAAATGCCTATTTGACCTTATTGTAGACTTTTACATATTTATAATATGACCATCAATAATAGTTGATAGACAATAAAGCTACAACTGTAGGCCAAGGTCATAACTTTTTTTTAAAAGTCACAATAATTTTATGTTTGAATAGAAATTCTCATATTGTCTTTTCAAAAACAATAGTTTTACTCTGTTGTTTTGTTGTGTTGTCATTTTTGTTGTAAACTTACTTATTACTTACTGTTTGCCTTAATATGTTTTAAAGATTACAAACAAATCAGAATGCGCCTTGGAACTGGACAGGGTAAAGCTAACTAAATTGCATGTTTGATCTTGATGTTATTTTTACTTTGTAATAAAATGGAAAAATACGACAAAAAGAATGAGTTATCATCACTATATGTAGTGATCCTTTATGTAGTGATCTTTATCCAAGTCAAAGTAAGTGAGTAGATAAATCAATGTTGTCATTCAAAACTCGTCCATGTATTCTTATTAAAATATATTAAACTTGAAAAATGACGTTGCATGTCAAAATTTAATCAAATAATCATGATATAATTTAGAAACACTATACATGTATGTAATAAAGGTCATTTATTCATTTTCTACACCTATAAACATGACTGACATGACTTTACAGTGAAGCTATGAATGATGCTACTTGTTATTTAAAGGTGTACAGAGAGTCTTTCACAGAACCATTCTTCTCTCCATCCTACATGTATGTCACCCTCAAACAACTAAGCCAAAAAGTGTCATATTACAACTAAAGGGAAACCAAAAGCCAACTCTTTCACGCTTGCTAATACAACAGATATTTATAACCAATATGGATTCAGACTTTAAGTCCCACATTGTACCTCAGTCCTAGCTCAGTTATCTGAATTGTCCAGACTCAAATAACAGCCCTGTGACAACACAGGTCAATGTGGGTCAAAACAAATGCATGTTTTATATGTTCGTCTCCCCCCCCCCCCCCCAAAAAACCCGAAAAAAACATGATGTGCTGAAGTCTTTAGTAATTGATTATGATATAGAATATAAAAAAACGTTCAAAACTGAAACCGCATCATCATCTTTATCAAGTTGACGTAACATTGGATTTCTAGTTTGATGAAGGGGCTTCTAATGCGTGTTTCTTCTCATTGATTTAAAACTTAAAATTTCAAATACTTATAAAAAGCAAAAAATATATATTCTTTAAATGTAGAAAACATTTCAATGCAAACGCAATCTGCTACTAAGATTTTGATTTTTACATTCTGACATTTAATGCGATCTTAAACTATACTTTTGGAAGTTATAACAAACTATTTAAATGTGAATATTTTACTTTAAACAAGAAAAAGTTTTGTTGTTTCGTGAATATCAAAAGAAAAATGTTACAGCCATTTTTCAGATGTTGTAAATTCTGACTGAATGGCAGTCACTTTTGCGACCATCCTGAGTATTTTGCAAGGCGTGATATTTTCCGTGTCTCTTCGGCTTAAATTTAAGCGTATGTTTTCAGCCAATAAACAATTGAAAGATTCATTGATACTGATCTTGATTGCAACCTTAGGAAAGGTCAACATATCACTAAATTATCTGGACCTTTCCTTGTTGATCTTGTTCATTATACTTTATAATTTAAATATGGAGCAGTTTTTAAAATGTTAGTAGACGAACACAAGTTACGTCTGTTCGTTTGATGTGACAATTTTCTAGTCAACTGTCGGTCATCTCGACGATCAACTTGGATTTCTGAGGGATATGTAACTTTTCAACAGGATATGGTGGCAAATCAGAAATTCGTTGTGTGTATAAATGGCGTTTCAGCTTCCAAATTTAATATTCATAATAAAAGTGACAACAAATAATGACCTGTCAATGAATTATCTAGTTGTTTCAAAATAAAGTGCAATCTTCTTTTAGGCAATCAAAGACAAATGTCTTAATGTTGACGATCTATCATACATGCTTATGTAAATAACACTTTTAATAAGATTTCTGTTTTATTATGAAAAGAATAAGAGAAAACTGACAGCAATTACAAAAAGAAAAAATTACGGAACAAAACAAACTGTTCTTTTTGTTTTTCAGGAAAGAAATTGCTATTTTAAAAGGATACCAGAAGAAATGCAATGCTTTTTTTATGGACATGATATCCCAGCTTTGTTTTACCAACAACGGTGCACCCTCTATCGAAGTAATAGAAAAGTTATTGTCATTTATAACCTTTGATGGGTCAAAAGAAAGTGGAGTTATACAGACCAAAGTAATGTCTATATTTGACACCGGTATTGACCCGACTCCTGTTTTCAGGTCATTTCTTCTTCAATTGCTTTTGAAAACCAGGTAAATAGTACATAATTTAACAGTTTACTTAGAATTCACTAAAGTTATAAACATCGAGGTTTAGTGTTTTGCATATTTGGATTACTTTGAAATATTTAGGATTTGTGTACACAATTTCACCAGTATTTTTCATAACTTCCCTCTCCCACACAACCAAACTCACATACATACAATAACCCTAATTATTAAGTTAAGATCCATGTTGCTTTTAACTTCAAACTTCATATGATGAAATGACATATTTCTTTGGATGGATGGTTTCTCTCATTAATTTGGTAGTAGTTGATTTTTAGTTCTTTTGTTCAATGCTAATTGTCACAGTAATCTGTTTCTATCCGCTGATTTTTTATCATAATCAGAAAACCATGAAGAAAATAAACAATTAGCAACTGCCTTTGCATGGTAGCCATTACCATATACAATTATTATAAAATTTGTTTATTAAGTAACATAACATAATGGTATTAATATATTTTTATAGCGAGCATACATGTCCAAGACAAGTCATTTTTGCCCTTATACGTATGCATTGAAAATACTTCGAAATTATATTATATGAACAAATAAATATTTTGTCATTGGGAATAAGAAAATTATTGAGTATTATATCACAAATGCTGTTATAAGCATAGTAAAAATTGGTAACAATTCTAGTGCGTATGAGCAACACATGAAAATGATACCACTTTACAAGACAAATGCTATTCCAATTACAATAATACTCAGTTTGCATTTTTACATTAACATTTGCAAAGCAAATTTTTAAATAAGATTATTTAACTCAGTTGCAATTATGAAAAGCTAAAACTATTTTAAATAAAGTGCTGAACTAAGATAGAATATCAATAAACAATAATACGAAATGAAATTGGTTTGGAAATAAAAGTTCTTTTAATATAACATTAAACCGTTCCCAGAGTGTCAGTTTGTCAAATGTCAAGGTAAGATTTTATTGTCTTCCATGTACATTTAGACTGACATGTCGTAGAATATTATATTTTGTGAAGATTTGGATCATGACTTTTAAAACGCTGATCTTCTGTCTGTTTGGCAACATGACAAATTAATTGCCATTATGAGGAACAAATAAATGTTTACTTTTAAAAATGCGATCTTCAGTACTTTGATAGAACAATTACGTTTTCTGACATTCGTTTTCCATTGACAGCTTCCATTGCATAGTGCATTCCTGTCTATGTGTTCTATGGCGATTCGATTGAATATTTATTCGCCATGTAGTTGATAATTTTGGAATTTTTAGCTCGACTTTTCTATGAAAAGGGGAGCTATCCTACTCGCCCCGGCGTCGGCGTCGGCGTCGGCGTCGGCGTTAGCGTCGGCGTCGGCGTTGGCGTCACACCTTGGTTAAGTTTTTCGTACCACCCCACTTTATTTCAGAAGTATTACAAAGTATGGCTTTGAAACTTACCATACTTGTTCACCATCATAACCTCCATCTACAGACAGGAGTACATAACTCTGTCAAGGTTTTTGACAGAATTATGGCCCTTTTTTGACTTAGAAAGTGTATTGAGCTTGGTTAAGTTTTTTGTACCACCTCACTTTATTTCAAAACCATTGGAGGTATTGCTTTGAAACTGACCATACTTGTTTACCATCACGACCTTCATCAACAGACAAGAGGACATAACTCTGTCAAGGTTTTTGACAGAATTATGCCCTTTTTGACTTAGAAAATACATTGAATATGGGTAAAATCCACTTATTGCCTTAACCCTTTGAGATATTGCTTTGAAACTTTTAATGCTATTTCACATCATTACCCCATCTGTACGCAAGAGAAGGTAACTCTGTCAGGGATTTGTTTTAAAAATTAAGGCCTTTATCGACTTAGAATCTTGGTTAACTTTTTTGTACCAGTCAACTTTTTGACTGAACTGGTTGAGATATTAAATTGAAAGTTGGAATACTTGTTTACCATCATGGTCCCAAAACATGGGCCAGGAGAAGGTAATTCTGTTAAGGATTTTTATTTGAATTATGGCCCTTTTTGACTTAGAAACTCAGTTAAAATTTTCATTCTTGTCCACTTGTTGACTTAACCATTTTGAGATATTACTTTGGAAGTTGGAGTTCTTATGTGCCATCATGAGACCTATCTGTAAGCAAGAGAAGATAACTCTGTGAAAATGTTTCTTGATTTGTACTTAGAAATTCCTAGTTAAAGTCTTGTGTGCCCTTAACTGTCAAAGTTTTGTTTTATAGGCAAGCACTAAAAAAGTCGAGCGCGCTGTCCTTCTGACAGCTCTTGTTGTCAATTATTTGCAAATAAATACGCGATTCATAACTATTTAAAGTTCATTAAACAAGATGAAAAGATGGCCAACATATCCTGTCTTATTTGTTAGAAAAGAGGCATTTGCTCCTCTTTAAATACTTGACATTCTAGTATGGATGATGTCAAGAAGAACATAGACGTGTATTTGACCAATGCTGATGACATCATTAAAAAGCAAGGCAAAGAAAACGCAGATATGGCATCGGATCAGAATATGGCCCACACAAATCAATACATAGAACTATGTTTGATGATAATTCAGTGCCTGGAATCTATTTTGGGGAAGCTGCGATCCCTGTTAGTATCTATATATAAATATATCTTTAAAGTATCAAATCTTTTTTTCAAAATGTAGGATATCTTTACCGAAGAGGCCAGTAAAGCAGAAAGTGAAATTGGTTATGCATCGGAGGCCTTGCAGAGCGTAGCAAGCAACCTGACAAAAGACGAATTATCTGTAAATAAGCTAGTGACCATTGCTAAGGCCAGGGTAGGCCTCGCCATATGTGCAAAATATCAAATTCGTGCATTGAATACAAGCCCAAAAATTCAAATGGACGTTCGTGCCCTTCTCAGTGCTTCTAGAATTGTTTGCAATGATGAATGTAAATGGCCAAGGTATGTTTTGAGTATATTATGAGTAAAGCAAAGTGAAGAAAATCAAATGAAAATAGGCAGACTAATCATTTTGATTTTAAATAGGCAATGAATTAACGTGTAATATATATTGTTACGACTTTTATTATTAAAGTTATTAATTTTTCGCGGCACTGCTGTTAAGGGGAAAATCATAATTACACAGTAAATTACACAATGAGTACTACCGATATGATTTTTAAAGTTTTTGTTTAATACCAAACAAAGTAATTTTTTATAAATGATAATCTGAACTTAAATTGTTCGCGTTTTTTATAACAAATATTAAAATTTGACATTGTTGGAATGATTCAAAACCTTATTTAGATTACGTTTGTGGATGTGGATATAGAGTTTTTTCTATACATTAAAAAATTAATTTTGCATATAAACAAGAACACATTGTCTATGGATTGAATGTTTTTATTTGGATGAACTTAGGCAGACTTTTCGCCTCTTGCGAGAAATGTTATTTAAAACGGAATTTTCATGTTCTGCCCAAAAACAACAGATACGCATACTGACCACCATTATGTTTACTGTCTCGTAGTTTGATTAACTTCAGTTAAAAATCTTAAATACGGATGACATTATACATGTAATAAGATACGTATGTCATGAATAGTTGAAACATGTTTAAATGATAAAATGGGCAATTGGGCCAAATGAAGACGTCTGGAATTTTAAGGAGAGCATAGAAGTTTCATGTCTTCTTCCGGTATTCAAACAGCGACTTATAATCTGTTATGTACAGCAATGGCTATCGGGTCTAGGAGATAACAATATTTGAAATAACCTGTATGTTTACATTATGGAAGGTATTTCATCATGATTGATTACTTCCATGAAATCAAATTGAAATAGTTACGTCAGACATTGACATGGATGTGCGTGTCAGCACATACTGATACTGTATAAAAGCCGGTAGATATGGCAAAAATCAAATTGAAAGAACACAAAGAATGAATTTGTCAAATTAATGGTAATTTGAGGTTGAAGATGAATACCATTTCATTCTTAAATGTACCGGTTATTTAAGCGTCAACAGTGCGTTAAACCGTATTTTGATAGGTACCATATAACATGTGCCATTACATGCAACTACTTTATTTGAAATATAATTTCTTTATAAGAAACCTTTCAAAGTTAAAATATCTTGCTGGTCGAACTTGTACCTGATTGATTATTAAGATTCTGTAGGTAACCGTAATATAATTGTAATTGCCTTTAAAGTATGATCTTAAGTGTTATGTAAAATGACCATGTTTAAAGTTATACTTTTTAGTATATTGTATATATATTCAATACAATTGTCACACTTCGTTAATATCATGTCGAATTATGTGATATAAATTTAGCATCCAATCATTCAGACATTGTTTAATTTATTATATTATTACTTGTACAACATAAAATGTGTACACGTTGGAAATCTCTTTCTTCTCTTGATTTAATGCAATTATTTTTACTCGTAAATAAGATAAATTAACCTGAGTTGTTCTATATGATCACATAATTATTAAATTTGACCAATGAATATGAAGGGGGCTTACAAGTAACAAAACTATTTTATTTATTACTATTGTTGAATATTAAAGTTTACATTCAAGAAATTATGTGTTTGCTATTATATTCAAAATGCATGTTACGAAATATTTCACTCTTCCTGATAACGAAGTTATTTAAAAAGCTGATGTCGGTGGACGTCTGTAAATTTTACAATAGTAAAGGTCGAATGCATGAAACTTTCTTTTATATATGTTTGGTAATTCAACTTTCAAATTAAGTTATATCTTTACAGCAATTATAGCACTGTGTCTATATTTTCAGTGCATTTCGAAATAGTTGTTATTTCTCAGGTTTAAAATCAGGAGAAAAATACTTTAATGGTTGCTGAACAGACTATCATATGACGGTCTATATTTTATTTGTAATACATTTCTTACTAGTGTCTGATGAATGCTTTCAACAGAGGTGGAAGAAGGTTTTGACTTGTTCGAAATGACGAACTGATTGAAGTTCGAATTATTACTGTTGCGGCAATATCTCCTTAGAAACTTTAATCCTCCTCCATCCCCTCTCCTCTTCCTGTCCTTACACAAAAAGTTATCAAGTTTGACATTCCGACCAAAAAAGAACGGAATCATTTAAATGACAAAATGACATTATGTAAAACTAACAAAACAAACAAAAAGGGTTAAGATGATTCTTTGTAAGTATAGTATATGTAAGCGATCTGTAAGAAAGACATCTGAAAGAGACATTTTGGTAACTATTCATTTGTACTTATATTTCTATTTGTATAATTCATTGGCTACAGAAAACAGAGACAATGTTACTATGCTGAATAATGTTACGTGCGTTACATTTATGTACCGTTAATAAAATATGTAAATTTTGACATAGTTTTTATACCACCCCAGTTTTTGTATGTCTTTTGAAATATTGCGTTCTAACTTTATCAAATTTACATTTACCAGCATTTGTTCCTATTTCACTATTAAGCACGTGTGATAGCCGAGCATACGAACTACTTAAATTTACACTTAAGCAAAGTGTATGCCTTTAGTAGCTTATTGTATAACTACCTTAATATTTATGAATATACAACGTATAAAAGTGGGCAACAACGCATTTTTTGCTTTGGCCAGATAAGGAAAGCTGACTGTTGTTAATGCTAATCGACAATAGCATCTTTAAAACATATCAACGTTTGTGTTGAAGAAATCATTTTTCAAAGTTAAAGAGTTACTTCGTTCTAATAAATAATACTATTTTGTAGAATATTTATCGTGAAGATCATCAGTCGATGCTACGGACTTGACAATTACTTCAGGCTTTGCTCTTCAGAAGATGATTTGCTAAATTGGGTTTCCCTGCCAGAAGCAAGATTAGACGTAAGTTTAATTTCAATATCCGATATAGCAAAAATCTCTCTTTATTGACTGATATGGAAATAAACAATTTACTTATTTAGAAGGTTAGAAATTATAATTATCATTGAATAAATAGCATTGGTTTTTAGTGCACTTTTCAAATTCATAACTACTTTTCCGGTTTTAAAAATTTATAAACCCGGACCATTATCAATGTCTCAAATAACATGATGCATAAAAAGGAATATTTGAAAATAAATTCAGGTGCACGTAGCGTCTGACAGATATATCGTGTGTGGTAAAGACTACGTAAGTTTAAGACGTGCAGTTACAGATGTTGCTTTAGGGACAGATGTCAATCATCTTGAAAATATATTAAAGGTAATAAGTTATCCAAAAATCTGAAAAATACACAGAAGTTTTAAACTTTGCAAACAGAAACATATGTATTTTTCTAAAAAAACTAAACTTTTGTATTAAATCAAAATGAAAAATCTCTTTATATTAAAGCAATTAAATAAAATCAGGGAAAAAAAGAGACAGTTATATTCTGATATAATTTCATACTCTTTCATTCAAATTATCATAAGTAGATGGTTTTGATTAGTGATATGGAATGACAAAACCAGTATTCATATTAAATGCTGACTCTCCTTAAATTATTGATTCCTTATTTATAAATCGTAAATATGGCTATCGCACTGTTGTTGTTGTTTTTTGTTGTTATTGTTGTTTCCTTTTTGTCTAATCACTTGCAAAATAACTAACAGCAGCTCATAAATGTGTCAATATTCAGATCTGACCTCCCGCACTATCTTTAGGAAAATACGTTTCATACATTATGCATGTACTCTCATATTGTTTATTTAAATCAGGAACTTAGAGTAGAAGAATTGAAAACAGCTGTTTACCTTGACTTAGCTATATACAGAGAAATAACATGCGCAAACCTTTTTCCTGATGACGGACGGCCATTTCCCTTGAAGGTATTAGCACTTAAAGTTAAGCAATACACATCTTGTTTTAAAAGTCACGGTGATAAGATTTGCAAATGGCAGCGGTCGGTTCTTGTTTAACGGGGCGTCATAAAGTATTTTCGGTTGTAATGAGACATAATGCAACTTGGTTTAACCTTGCTTGAGATTATTTTTGGATTATACAGGGTTGGTATTAGGATTTTATTATAATTAGAAAACTGGTTTCTGGTCGATAACGAGAATGAAGAAAAAGTAAAGAAATCTGATATGGGGTCATTGGATTGGATTGCCGTTGTTGAAAAGGAAATGTTGTGTCCGGTCAATAATTAGAGTTAGGAATAAGTTATTTAAATTTCTAAATGTATAGCAAGCTTATATATAGACATCGCTTGAAATTCTTTTGTTCACTCAAGCTTTATGGTAACTACGAGTATTTTAAGGAGTCTTGAGTTGTAAAACATCTACACTATATATATATAAAGAGAGAGAGAGAGAGAGAGATAGAGAGAGAGAGAGACAGACAAACAGACAGACAGACAGAGAGAGAGAGAGAGAGGGACAGAGAGGGGGAGAGAGAGAGAGAGGGAGAGAGAGAGAGAGAGAGAGGGGGAGAGAGAGAGAGAGAAAGAGTATGTAGCTATCAATGTTATTGACCGATAGAGATTTCATCATTCGAGTACAAAAACTCGTTGAATACTATAAGATTAATGATTGTTAACAAGAACGAAGTAAAACCGGTTTATATAAAGTGATTTGAAGCAGACTTTGCTGCAATCTATTATGTACCCAACCTCTTATTGTCTAATGACATAGATCACAGATGGAAAAAGAAATTTGATTCTGGTTTAACTCCATTGAAAACGCATCCAGAATCAGGAATGCCAAAATGTGAATCCAGTGCTACAAATACATCAAAAGTTACATATTTTTGTGTTGAAATAGATGCTAGATAACCAGTTCATAGTTGGTATTTCACGTTCGAGTGTTTATTATACTCATCAGAATATCTTGAATTATAGAAAGATTCCTGCAAGGTAGGCGCCTCATTCATTGAGTGACGACCAAAAGCGACAAAGAGTTTAAAAAGCTAAACAGTTGCTTAAAAAATGAATGAAAGAAATTTTGAAATGTAGAAACTGGTAATGAAACTTTGATGCATTAGTTTGAGCCAGTACGAAATATTGACTATAAGATGTGGGATACAAAAGCTAGGAAAAGGCCTGTAATAAATAAATGCTTATTTGATGCAAAAATGTTTTGTATACATTTCTCTTCTTTGCTGCCGAATTCAGGTGTGAGAGAAAAATGTCGAAGGTATCACTGGAAAGTACTATTAAGATGTAGTTTTAAAGTGTTTAAAAAAACTCATTATTCGGGTTCAAACATGCCGCAGCTCACAAGTTTGCAATGGCAAAAGATTTTTGAAAGAACATTTTAACTCACCCTCCTTATTCACCGGACATTTTCCTTTGCGACTTTCTTCTTTTTCCGAAACTGACAAATTTTCTCGTAAGCCAAGACAAGTACTTGGATCCGCCATTTTGCAATACCTACCAGCGTATTGTGACGCATTCCGAAAATAGACGAATCGTCTAAAATTATGCATTTAAACTAGGGCGAGATCTTTGAGGGAATAACACTTACTTAAATTTTTAGCGCCCTAAACCTTTTCCCTCATATAGACGTGTGTTGACGGCTTTTTTCCCCTTCCCTTTTTGATGCCTCAAATAGTGAACAAAATGCGCTATTTAGGTTCAAAACACTGTTTTTCGATTGAGTAATGTTGTTAAAAAGTGATAACTTTTTCGACGCGGTCTTCCATCGAAATGATACATATGGGGGTTGCCAGTAGGGGGGGGGGGTTTAAAGGGGGCGGAAGTCCCCCTCATCGCAAAGAAAATTTTGGACATGTGACAGGCCAAAAATGACCTCAGGTCAATCGTAAGGTAACGTGTAACCAACGCTGAAAAGCCTTTTACTTTATCTTAATGCACTGAGAACTTGCAGCGCTTTGAAATCAGTTTTGATGAGAAAATAACATGCAAAATAGTGATTTTTTGCAATTTTTAGACGTTCCCCCGTTGCCATGGTAACAGGAAATTTAATATTGAGCATGTTGTTTCTGTGGTTCAGTCACCATATATCAGTATTGAAGCATTCTAGATAGTTTTATGGCAGTTTGAACTTGTAACAGGAGGCTTTTCAATGAAAATGGCAATTTTTCACAATATGCTCATGTGGTAAAAGGTTAAAGGGATATTCGGGCAAAATAATGACAAAAATATTAAAATGATCTTATGCATTCAAATCACACTAAAATGACATTTCTAGAAGTCTTAGCATGAATTTCTGAATAAATTTCTTTATATTCTGGGTTTGAGCAGTAAATTTATCTATATATTTAAACGCAAAACAGAAACATCGAGTAGTTTTAAAACAAGTCATGTGACTTGAACAAACCCAGGAAGTTACAAAAACAGATATTCTGCATATAGTTAAATTAACACAAGTCTTAGTCATTCATTTGGTTTAGTTGTTAAACGTTCACATATTTCACTGTGACAACTATCGTGAAATCTTAACGTGGGTGAAGATAGGTTACCATTTTTCTTTATAAGGAGAAACGTTTTGTTCCTTTGACTACCTGGTTTATCTATTTTGAGGACATTTACATAATAATGAATGAAAAATTCAAAACTAAAAATTAAATTTTTGCCTGTGTCTCCCTAAGTAGAACAAATGCTTCTAGTCGATTACCAGACCTATCATTGAGATATCGGAATCACAATTGATAAAACAAGATAACATGAAGACCTTGCTGTTGATTACTTTGTTTGGCCTCTAGTTTCTAGGACAAGGTCATTAATATTAAAGATTGAAAAATATTTCTGTCGATAGAAAAGTAGAATAAGGAATGAGATATCATACGCAAACTAAGTATAAAGTAATCTGATGAGGAGACCTCACTTGATAAAACAAATTTCAGATATATTAAGCTTATGACAAGACCTCGCTTGAGATTGCTTTTGGGCTCTCTAGGGTCAAGATCAAATGTTACTATAAAATATTTCAATGGTTTTCTGTGGATATTTATATTTAGGAATGAGATATTTGATTATATTTGGAGAAAACGACACTTATGACAAAAAAAACATGTTTGATATTTCGCGTGTTACCTAAACATTAATATGAGCTTCATCATAAAGGTCTTTATATTGAATTTTGCCTCAATTTTCATGACGTTATAATTAATGAATGGATTGAATTCATACCCAAGTAAAGAACATTTTATATGATCAAAATGACATCGGTTGTCAATGTCAAATAATACTTTTCTTTAAATGTTCGTTGACCTTTATTATTCATGACTGATTTACAAATATATGAACACAATATTTTGAACAACTCATTATTCTTCCTGATGTATAACATTGGATCCTTACCGGCCATAGCGAATCAAATAATCAGGTTGATATTTTCTTTTATTTATTGATGAATTCATTTTGATTCATACTTAGACAAAGCAACATTAAATACCAACCTATCATATAGAGAAATTTAAATTTGACCTGATTTATATTATCAAATAATATTCAACCAATGCATATAAAAAGCCGTCAACCGCTCGCAATGACTCTTGTTGAAAACTTTGTTTTTGTTTATCAAAACATTTAAATTTTGTATTTATTCAATTTTATCAATGTTCAATTCAAGTTTTGCACTTGAGATCTGCATTTGATTTTGTGATACCAAGCTATATTTTTAGTAAATATTCGCAAATATATATACTTGGTGTATATTCTTTACAGAGGGTTGCCGTTTTCGAGGAATTTATTTCAGAGACATTCAATAAAATTCATTCCGTAAGTATCACTTATTTAAATACACTGGTTTGCCATTATCATTGGTCGTACGTTGTCAACAATTAACATGCATGAGCTCACAGTTTTCATAAGGTCTTCATCAAATTTTGTCACAATGTTAGTATGTGTAGTTATTGCACAAGTTTGAATATTGGTTTTCTAAGGTTGAGTTTAAGTCACAAAGTCAAATAAAAATTTTGTTAACATTCTTGAGGTTACAATTTTATCATTAATGTTTATCTCAATGATAAAGAGGTCAAGTATGATCAGTAGTCGGTTTAGGTCATGAACTACATTGTCAAGTTAAATCAAAGAGAAACTTGGTTAATAATTCATAGAGAACAAGAAAACTATTGTTTACAGTCCAGAATCCAGAATATTAATATCATACAAGTGATAGTGGTATGAGTTTAAAGGTTGGTTGTCCCTTATTAAAAAAACTTGGTCACTAGGTCAAATTAAAGACATATTCTGGTGACACTTTAGATAAACTTTTAAGCCTTCCTACTTTGTCTTAGTTTCTCCTTTTTAGCTATTTAGTAATATTACCAATTAAATGTGAAAAGCTAGGTAATCGGGTCGAGTTTAAGAAAAACTAATCAATTTCAATTTGATCTTCATTAAGCTGTGTTGATACAAATTATATATTAAATAAGATTAAATTCGGATACATTTGGTCTAAAATAAGGTCAACAGGTCAAATGAGAGAAGAATACTGTTTAAACATTAGATATTTTATTTCATTTCATTATTTATAACATAACTTACCATGACATATATTGAGCATAGCATATATGTGATTATGCCCGTGAAGGGAAGCATAATATAATCGCACCGTCTGTCTGTCCGCCAGTCCGTCTGTCCGTTCGTTCGTCTGTCCGTCCGTCTGTCTTTGCGTTCCCACTTCATTCCTGTCCGTACTGTAACTTTGTCATACATTAAGGGGTTTTGAAATAACTTGGCACATATGTCTACCACATCAAGACGATATGTCGCGTCTAAGAAATTGTCCCTACCTCAAACGTCAAGGAAACACTATCATTTTGAAAGTTCACATTATCGCAATTAGAGTAAATAGGTACACACATTCTTGTCCGGACTGTAACTTTGTCATGCATTGAATGGTTTTAAAATAACTAGGCATAAATGTCTACCACATCAAGACGATGTATCGCGTGCATAAATTACGTCCCTTCCTCAAAGGTCGAGGTCACATTAACATTTTGAAGTTTTACATTATCACAATTAGAATAAATAGGTACACACAATCATGTTCGGGCTGTAACTTTGTCATGCGCGGAAGGATTTTAGAATAACTAAGCATAATTATCCTCAAAATCAAAACGATGTGTCGCGTCTAATAATCACGTCCCTACCTCAAAGGTCAAGATCACACTACTATTTTGAAGTTTTTCTTGATCACAATAAGAATTTATAGCTACATACATTTGTATCCGGATTGTAACTTTGTCATGCATGGAAGGATTTCATAATTACTTAGTATAAATCTCTACAACATCAAGACGATGTGTCGCGGCTAAGGCTCGTGTCCGTTTGTCCGTGTGTCCTAACTAGCTCAACAATCATGTCCAGACTGTAACTTTGTCATGGAATGAGGGATTTTGAAATAATTTGGCACAAATGTCTATCTCATAACATTTTGTCGCGTCCAGGAATCACGTCCCTTCTTTAAAGATCAAGGTCACACTTATATTTTGAAAGTTCATGCTATCACATTTAGAGATTACAGGTACAATAATACAAAGAACAATATTCAGCAATAAGTTACTTTCATTGTATTTTCTTTAAAGTTAAGAAAACCTTTTTGGGGGCATTCGTCACTAGGGTGACAGCTCTTGTTCGTTATACAAATGTTTATCTGTGATATAAAGTTCATTGTTGAATAAAAGAAACCTGTCAAAAACTATATAACTAGGTTAGAGGTACAAATCTTTATTTGATATTTATTTAACTTTGATAGAATTTTTAAAATAGAGAAAAACAGAATTCCTAAAGAAGGTCCAACACAACACAATTGAAAATGTTGCAGACTCGGTTTGATTGAGATTGTTCATGGACGGTATGGAAAGTGCAAGTTACCGTCCACGCCCCCTTGCACCGGCTTAAGCAGAATTCAACATTTAACACGAACATGGTGAAATTTTGAATTTAGAAACATCCGCAGATGTGTTCATACGGCGGTTATCATGGAACCTTCAATGTGACACAGTAGTGCCACTCCATGAAAAGCGGCGTATGGTCCCCAAGTAAAAGAATGCTTTTGCCCTAAACGAGAAAACAATGGGCGGAACTAAATAAAATGGAATTTTGAAAAGGATCTGAGGTTATGAAGCCTGCATATCACAGATAAGACGTCAAAAGACAAATTTAAAAAGCAGGCAGCATATCCTAAGGGTGATTATACAGTATTCAAGCAGGAATACTGGAACCACCCAAGATGAAAATGTCCAAATAGATGAAACTAAAAGTACCACATAACATGTAAACACAACAACAATGTCGTGCTGAACGATAAACCTGATAAAAAAAAACCTTAAAACTGATAAACCCAAAAGATTTTGCTGATGGGTCAACTTCAGTCAAAAACATGGTTTCCAGGTCAAATCAAACGGAAACCATCAATAATAGTCAAGAGGTAACATTGTTAATTGAACATATTTTCAATTTGTCAGAATGTTTATCATAAAGACAAATTTAAATGTCATGTATGAATGTTTGGTTTAAATCCAGGCACTAGATCAATACAAAGAAATACATTGTTACCAATTTAGATGTAACAGTTTTTGTTTGAAAATTTCAATAAAATACGAGTCAAAATTGGAAATAATAACAATACACCAGGTCATATAACAGAAACACTTTGTTAATATTGTTAAGGTCATAATTATACGATCTTCATGAAACTCTCTGAGAATGTTTGTCTCCCTGTTTAGGTAAATGCCGTTTTGTTTTATTGATATTCAATTCAGATCATTTTTGTACAATATTAGCTCTTAACAAGTATAATGCTCATTTAATTACTAATAAATGTAAGGGTGCAATTGTTTTACAAATTAAAAGCATCGCACTTGTTTATTATACTTTCTTTACTTTTGTATATAACAATATTTGCTACTACAATCTACATATTGACAATACCATTTTGATTGCATTTGTTAAATATTTAAAATTTCCTTTTTTATCAGCGTAAGGATCTCCCATTGAAAGTACTACAAAATGCACTTTTGCCAGAACAACTTAAAGTTGAAGAAAAGGTGGATGTGTCAACACAGGGAATACAATGTCTTCTAGTGCATTATTTGTCAATCCTAAACAAGCTTGATGGGAACAAGACGTTGCTGCAACCGTTTACATGTTTAATTGTTAATGCAGATTTGTACACGGTATATCATGCATTATTTTTATTTTCATACGCCTAAAAAATTTCGGCGTATATTCTTATGCACTTGGTCGTTCGTCGGTTTGCAGTTTTTGAGTCCAGTCCGAAGTTTATATACTCTGCATGTAGCAGCAATTTGTTAATTTCTACAAAAAACATATAATAATCCTGGCCATTACGCCAAACTTGGTCCTGGCCTGGGAGTCACTTGCTTTATATAGACTTAGGTATAGGAAAACACTCTCATCTTTTTGAGCTCTATGTTTGGCATATATCTTTGTAATAGTTTTATGAATACATAGTACATAGTGTAAAAATGTGTTCTTGATTGGGGCTCTTCCCAAAATGAAAGATTATTTCAAAATATCTTATGAATTATATATATATATATATATATATATATATATATATATATATATATATATATATATATATTATATATATATATATATATATATATATATATATATATATATATAATTCATATATATAAATGCGTATATATTACTGGAATATATTTATTGGTGTGTGTATATATATATTTTTCTTTTGACTATGATTGGTTGTGATGATAGAGGTAGCGTTATAAAATGTGCTGTAACATTAAAACACAGATGTCTTAGATACCAATAATGCTTTTTTACTTTCATCTAGGATGCACTTCTTCCAACAATGCCTCAGGATGACTTAGATGAAATAAGAGCATTGCTTTTGCACGATAACAAACAGGGAAGAATGACAATAATGAGTAAGCGTACAAGTGTTTGTTTAGTTAACATAAGAGCATTGATCAAATATGCTAGAATAATGCGTCTATAATTTTTCAATCATCCTTTACCTCCTATTGGATACAAATGTGCGTAAATCGAACGTGAAATAAACATTATGTGAACTTGCAAAGTTTGTAGTGTCTTTTAATTCCGATATATAAATAAGAATTCTTTTTGGAAATTTGTTTACAGCAACTTTCAACTTTGTATCACCACGGTTTTGAAAGATACAAAACAATGAGTTTTTAAAACGCTTCAAACATTTCCCAGCAAAATGTTCTTCAAAAGTATATATGAGGTTTATGAAATTTAATTTTTATTTTATACTTTCTAGAATGTCCAAATGGTCACGTCTATACAGTCAATAATGTAAGTCATATAAAAAGACTTTGCTTTTTTATCCCCCGCCAAAAAGACGGCGGGGGATAAAGAAATAATCTCCGTCCGTCCGTCCGACATTATCTCAAAAGTATTTGAGGTATCAACTTGAAACTTCATAGATGGACAGATTATATTGAGGAGGAGTGAAGTACACACGAATGATAACTCTACCATGCATACTTTTTCATTTTTTATTGCCCTTTGTTATTTTTCAAACTTAATTCTAATCCAGAGCATAACTCAAAAAGCCTTTGAGATATCAACATGAAACTTCATAGGTGGATAGATCTCACTCAGAAGGTATGCAGTGCACAAGGGTGATAACTCTACCATTCATTATTACTTAGTTATTGCCCTTTGTTATTTTTCATACTTAATTTTTCGAGATGTCTAAATTATACTTCATAGGTGGATTTATCTTATTGAAGAGGAAATTGTGGGGGTTTGCGTTCATTGAATGCCTCCTTTCATTGTTGATCTTTTTATATATATTCTCAGCTCCTCTTTCAGTTATGCTCATTGTGTCACAAATAAAACTTGGATCTTAAACACCAAATTAAAATGTTGCATATTTAAAAAATGTGTGGAAGTTCTTAAATATATATATCACTATCGGTGTGAAACTTCTATTTTGGGTATCACAGTAGTGCCATGTATTTCATGTAATAATTTTAGTGCAAAATCTCAATGAGTATATCTTATAATACTTTGTATGCAAGCCCGTGTGTGTTTTAACAATATTGTAACCATAATTTTGTTATCATTTGTGAGTATATAGGGATTATTGCATCGTTAGAACCTCAAGGTCAATGTGAAACTTCCATTCCAAAAGTAAAAAACATATTATGTTTATGTCCACTGTGTCTATTGCATAATGTCATTCAAAAGTAATATCACATAAACATTTTAATAGTATAAATATAAAATTAACTATTTTATCATGCAAAACAAAGCTTCAAACATTATTGTCACATATTTTTGTGTACCATGTCATTTAACTGAAGACAACATTTCAATTCTAATATTTTATCATATGCATTTCAGTGTGGTGTACCAATGGAAGCTCAAAAATGTTTAGATTGTGGAGTAGATATCGGCGGAAGCGGAGACCATACAGCGTTTGAATCTAATAAAAAGGACAATAAGTATGACTTTTCTGTAATTTTCGTGTATTTATGCTGTTTTAATGCTTTCAGGGGATCAGTTTTTTCCAGATATATATTTATTATTATTATCATCTGAGCATAAAGTGCTGATGTTTGTAGTTTGCCTTTAAAACATCTCTTCCTATTTGATCGTACTTCGCATGAGTTGGGTAATCTTCTACAGCAGCTATATAAATTATATAAAAGTGTCAAGGGTAAAAAATGGGACCTCTCTGGGTTTCAACAAGTCTCCTTGTCGATTTCTTATACTTGGTTATTCACTTATGCCCTTGTGCCCTCTCCAGTTTTGATTAGTTTCCTGTTGGTTCCTTGCTTGTGGTTTTATGTTGCTGGATTTTGTCACCTTTTCTTGTTAATCTTAAAGATTGTTTTCATATTAACTACCAAAACAATAAGTTCCCATGGAGTCTAATAGCATAATTATTTTAGTTTACCCAGGGTCAAAACTGGCTCAGCCCTGGGGTCATGTGTGTGTCTTATTTATAGAATAACACATTTAAATGTTTTTCGTTATCTTGTGCTTAAATATTTTACATGTTGTATTGCCTAGTGGGCACTTACCTGTATGGCAAACATACTATAAAGATGATGTCTAGCCTTAGTGTATAAATGGGAAAAACAAGAATAAATGTCAACAAGGCAAATGCAACGTTCACATGACGCAGTTTAATCTCTGTTGTGTCTCGAGGTCATAGATATTTGACAATAAAACACTACCTAAAAGAGTTCTTTGAAACTAAATTCATGAATCATGTTCCTTGCCTCGTAGTGTCTGAGATTTAAGATATGGATTCAAGATATGGGTATTGTACAGTTGATAATAATTATCATCTTGATCCTTTTTTGACCTGGTTATTTTTGTATTCGTTTTGTTTTCCGTCTGCTTCATCCAACAAAATGTTGTGTTTGTGTGATTTTTTTTATTTTTATATACTATTTAATTCTAACAAAATACGATCAATTTATTTCAAAACTTATAAACCAATGAAAATAAAACTGCTTAGTGAACACGGGGCCAGGTGTTAAATATTGCCTAGCTCAATTGTGAACAATATAAGGAGAAGCTCTCCAGTTTCTGAACAATATGTTCAGTGTTCAAGAGACACTAATGATTTTCTTGAGCAAGAAATTTAATCTATGTTGATTTACTTCATCTAGGTGTAAGTAGGATTTTAAGGGTAACGCCCCTTTTGAATTGCACCAGATTTGAATATCTAGGATGTCGGTTTAATGTATATCTTATCTGTGATTTTACTTTTCTTATATATTCTTTTGTTTTAATGACATGATTTTATTTTTATTTACATATGTGATAATAATGATTTTATGGAAACATTTCGGTGCAAAGCGCAATGTATGAGTATATTGAATGTCTACTTTCATGTATCTATAACGCAAAATATATCTTGTTGCAATGAATTATTCTATATGTTTTCTTAAAAGGTAATTATTCTTTCATTTAATAGCATTGATGAAACAAAACCAGGACATGTTTTAGGACCTCCTGAGAAACGTGAAAAAAAAGCTTCTTCAGAACGAGAGTTAGAACCTAATTTCCTTGCGTGTGTCCGACTTCTTCTTCACATGTCACTTTATCTAGGATCAGCCAATAACCAAGAGGTACGTTAAATAAACCGACGCTTACGTTTTATTTATATTATGAAAGACATATGTCATATGAAATTTAAACATTTGAAAACATTATATTAGAGATTTTATAAAATATTGTTCATTAAATGATGAATATGATACAATGTATAAAGTAAAATTTGTGAATGATTTGATAATAGCAACATTAAGTCAATATGCCAATTTCAAATTTAGATATGCATTAAATAGATGTTAAAGCAAATACGTTAAATTTGAAATAATTTAAATAAAGGCCATCTGCCGCATGATTCAACCTGAAATTTGCAAAGATGATGTTTCAACATTTTTATGGAACCATATCAAAGTTGACATAGAGATCTTAGAAAATTGCACCGGAAAGAGTATGGATGACGTGCTTCTATTGTTGCATGTTCTTATTGGTAACATAATGGAGACTCATATCAAAGGTAAAAACCGTTTGTAACAAGTAGATTTAGAAAAAATGAAAACATTTTTATTAAAAAACTTTGGATATTTAATATTAATGAGCATACTTTAAGGTTGAAAAGATTTAAGGTACAATAAATGATGGAAGAATGAATGATTTTAAGTAGTAATGAGAAGTAAATTAATTGTTCCTGTTCTAAAGAACATTACAAAATATTTGGTTGTAAACAATGGAAATTTATTAATTTTAAGGTGATGGTGTAACAGCAGATGGCAAGATCCTTCAACTTAAAACAAAAAGCGACCGGAAAAATTGGGAAATCAAGTTTGTAAAAACGTATTTGCAAGGGACTTTAAATGTAATTTAATCAACCTTTATTGAATTACTAATACATATATCGAGTATAAAATGCCTTCCAAAATTTCAATTAAGAATTCCATCATGATTGTCTATTCAATAACGGTTTGAACTAAATCTAAACTTTGAATGTTACTTGAAGCAATAATGTCCAGTTTGCAACTTTTTGAACAAAAGATGAACAGCATTAGAAATGACTTGTTAATGATTCGAAATAGTTAAAGTTTCGTTTGAATAAAATGGTTTTACTAATATTTTACCCTGTTTTAGTTTCTGTAAAGCTTATCCTTAGCATTTCCCCTTCAAATCTTCAACAGCCAAATAATTATCTATCGTTTCCGTCGTCATTGACTAATTAAATAAACATAGACCAATATGGTCTTACTGAAAGTGTTAACAAGTCACTAAAAATGCTCGTATGAAAATGCTTAAGCTATACGAAAACATTTTATTTTTACAACGATAAGATTTTCTCTTATTTTTCAACTCCTATGTAAATGTTACTTGGAGCTGCATTACAGACGTTACACTTTCAAAATTGACTGACTAATTGTTTATGGACTTTAAATTGTAATATAAACTATTCAAGTTTTCTAAAATTCTTGTACAATACACAAGGTGATATGTATACCATTTTATCTACAGCAAATAGACGATAAACTTAATGTATGGAATAAGAAATTGGCTGCTGATAACCGTCTAGGTAAAATAACTTTCATATTGTCTACTCCTTATTCATCCTGTTCATAACAAACATTGATATTGCATACGTCATTGCATGAGCTTTGATAAATTGATGTCATTTATAAAAACAATTATTTGTAGAAATATTATTATTCTTTACTCCCGGTAGGAAATAAGTAAAAGTGTTACTACATGGCCATGAAAACGAACTAATCACATATCACTACATTATTTAATATTACAACTACTTTGTTTGTACCTGTTTGTTTGTTCAGTGTCTGTACTAGCTTTTCGCCATTTGTGTTCATTTCCTTTTTGTGTCGCCTTGAAAAAGGCGACGTATAGGGGTTACTCTTGTCGGCGGTGTCGGCGTCGTTGTCGGCAACGGCGCCCCCTTAAGCTTGTCCGGAGCATAAGTCAGTCATTAATATCGGAATAACTTCAAGCTTGGTATGCATGCTTCTTATAATGACCCGAAGTGCAGTGCATAAGAACCGGTCTTAATTTTTGAGTTATTGCCCTTTTTTAATTTTCATACTTTATTTTTGTCCGGGCCATTTCTCCTAAAATATAAATTAAAAAAGCTATGGTCTTTAAACTTCATAGGATGATAGATCTCATTAAGAAAAATGGCAGTGTTCAAGAACCGGTACTCTGCACTTCTTATTTTTGAGTTATTACCCTTTATTAATTTTCATACTTTATTTTTGTCTAGGCGATTTCTCCTAAATTATAAAAGCTATAGACAAGAAAGTTCATAGGATGATGGATCTTATTGATAAGAAGTGCAGTGCACAGAAACTGCTGATCTACACTTCTTATTTTTTGATTTGTTGCCCTTTTGTCCTGGCCATTACTCCTAAACTATATGGTTCACAAGGCGACACATCCGACTCGCGGAGTTCTAGTTTATAATATGTATAATAAAGCAAAAATGTCTGTCACGTAAGCGTTAAATGTTTTTACATAGGTTGTGAAATAGCTTTATCACTTTATTACTTTATCACAAAGTAACTTTGACCGCCTCCGTGGTCGAGGGGTTAGAGTCGATGACTTCTAATCCAGTTACCTCTCTGGCGTTGGTTCGATCCACGGGAGATGCTTTGGTAGTTTAGCACGGAGGAAGGTAGTCTAGTACTGGTGTAACTCTCCAGGAACAATGGTTAGGAAACTACCCGCCTATATGACTGAAATACTATTGGGAAAAGGCGTGAAATGAAACAAACAAACAAACAACATAGTTACTTAAAGAAACCCCGTGCTTGTAATCGTCTTTGACTCGAACAGAGATATCGAAATACTTTATAGCAGAGTAATGATCAACAAATATCTTTCACGTAACGTTTACGGAACACAGTCTGCATAACATACTATCGCACAGAGAATCTGCACGGCCAACATACATCAAAGGGGCTACGATTGGAATGGATAGGAAAGTAAAATTAATAATATTACAACCACAACAAAAACTTTAAAACATTAAGATTCATTCATATATTCCAAACTGTAATTGTAGGAGGAAATCCACTTCTATGTCTGATGTATGAAACAGATAATATGCAAGATGAATCTGAAAATCACCAAAGGCTTCACGAAGTTTCTCGCGCTTGGAGGTTTAGGACACCGGTTTCTTTGGAACATTTGCGTAACGAATTAGCTGATGGAGATAAATACAAAAGTTTGCGGCTATTTTTGAATGAGGTAAACATTACAATTGAATTAAATTAGAAAGGATGATGCTTAATAAACAAATAATGGGTATTAATTTTTATGTTAAAAAGTATGTGCATACAATGTCCTTTCTGTTCTTAAGGGACTTTTTGTAATAATTATTATTTGTTTAAGGAACATCATCTTAGAGCATTGCGGTTTGTGCCAAACATACTACTGCTTCAACGTGCACTATTAAAGTCATTCCAAAGGAAACTTGACAGAAGTGAAGGCACAAAAATCACTTTAGAGGAGATAGTACATGGTAAAGCACCTCCTATAATTTTTTTTCATTTCATAATATCTTTAATTTATTGTTGAATCAATAAAATAAAATTTCCTAATCATAATTATTATTTGTTTAAAAAGCTTAAGAGTTATTGAATATTGTAGTGAATTGCATTCATTCAGTCTGACGTACCTTCTGTGAAAAAGTAGTGAATATGTTTAAAAACTCAGCTTAAAACTCGGTTTAGAGTATGTTCATGAGACTTAATAAAATTTACGACATATCACACGAACCCCGACCCTGGCACAATCCCCAGCACACAATACAGTAAAACTACATGGTAAGTCAATAAGTCAAGATTATTATATACATGAATGGCATTTAATTGTAAACATGTTTGGTTAAGTAAGAAATATTTATCGAATTAATAGAAATAACATGAAATGTATATGGTCTGATTAAAGTAAAATTTAACGTCAAACAAATTGCAATACAAGCTTTTTTTTACATTTTTAGTCTGTTATACACGTCATATAAAACAGGTAAAAACCCTAAAAAATCTAACCTTGGCAAACCAGTAAAAAAATCAATTCAAATTTTGCATTTGTTTCGAGTTTTTATATGGCTCTGCATGTACACCATACACAGAGATTTATACTGTAACCGGTGTCGAGGTAAACAAAAGTTATGAGGCCGCGCGATTTAAATATATCAAAATTAACACATTTACTACCTGAAGTTGGATTTAGAAGCTGTTGTGCAAAGTATGTATAAATGTTCATTATATTTACTTGTTTTTACAACTTTTAGCCTCGTACATGCCCAAATATCAAATACATTGAATGAATTGTAATGGGTTTTCGCGTGTATATAAATCAGCGTTTGTCGTTTAAAACAGTAAAGATTTTTCAATTTTCATGAGATATAAATAATCATTAGCCTGTATATTAACATTCCTTTTGATAATAAGATGTTTATGAAGTAGGAAAAATAAAAATAAACAAATTTAAGTTCATTCTGGGTAGCTTCAAAATGTAACTACGGAAGCGTATTTGGGTAAACAATGCACGAAATCTAGAATAAATTGTTAGTAATTTTAGAATCATAAATGCATGATATTTATTAACAGATTATTAGTTTTTGGTATAAAAATGTCATTATGTATGATACATACTAAGTTTTCATTTTAATAACATTTGGAAGATAAGAATTGAAAGGTAATACTGAGCGTGATACGAGTATATTATCTTTTTTTACATACTAGTGAGATGTCAGGGGAGTCAAAAAAGGATACAGAATTTACAATGATTTTGTAATTTCAAAATTGTGATTCCACAAAAGGGAGAAAAATTATTTTACAGTCACAGTAAGCAGTTCAAATTGTTGTTGAGCTCCATGGTATACCGTAACCAGAGATAAAGATAACATGCTATCTGTGCCTCTGGTTTAACTAAAGTGTGCTACAAACATTGCTGAGGAGCTATATTTGGTGTTAACTGTAGCTTTGCCAGTGGTAATAGATCCCCATTTTTGAGTGTTAAATTTGTTGTAAAATTTTACAAACACACGAGATAAGATAGTTTCGATGCAAACGTAATGAATCAGAGATGTTTGTGCTAATATGGATATCTGTATGTCCATCTACACCATCCGTCTTTCTATTTAAAAACATGTCTATCTGCCTTTCTATCGATAGTTCGGGTGCTTTTTTTGATAAGCCAAAAATGAAAGCCCTGTCATACCTACAACCATGTGACCACAGGGAAAATGCCTCCTTTTATTGCTATTTGTGAGCTATTTGTGTTTACTATGTTTTTTGTCCATGGGCCCGGATTTGATCATTTAATCCTTTCGATTTACAGCTAAAAATAAATCCGCATTCAAGAACTCCTTTCGATTTCTATATTGGTTTCCCCTTCGGTGATTCGCAACATGTCATATTAATGAATGAGAACCGTAAAGCAGTTCTGCTGTACATGAATTCGAAAGCTAAAAAATAGCTATAAATGTTCTGATTTTTGACACTTAGGTTATACATATGTTATTTCCCTTTTTTAGTAGTACATGAAATTATAATTTGTTACATTTTGAATTATATTTACACACAGCATATCAAGTATACTATTATTGATTGAATTTGTCAAAATAAAGAAGATTTCAGGCATAAAACTTTAAAAATTTTGCTTTTCGTAATTATTCTTAATTTATATTTATGAAATTAAATGTTTAATAATAACATGTTGATATATTGGTTGTTTTAAAGTAATTAATCTTTAGTATATAATGTAAAATTTCATTGGCATCATAGATACAGCATACCACTTTGTGCTTTAAAATTAATTCATGAAGGGTATGACTGGTGACCAGAGCTGCATTACCGGTACTGGTACTGCAGTACGTACTGCACCTTTTTTGCAAATACTGGTACTGATACTGAATTACTCTTTACAAAATTTTGCTAATACTGGTACTGCATTACTATCTTAAAACGTGGTACTGCTACTGCATTACTAGGCAGTACTTTTGGTTTTAATAAAAATAGCATCAATTCTTTTTCATAAAATAAAGCTGTAAATTACATTATTTTATTTTTGTGAAAAAGTAAGTTATCAAATCTTTAGATAATTTGCTGCCATACTCCTTCCAATGTTACATAGTACTCATCATAAAAAAAGCACCAAAGACTAAGTGAAAATTAAATTGAGATAAACAGACTCAGTAACTCTTTGCCCTAAAATAAAAATTATCCTTTTTAAAGTATTTTATTACTTTGTATTTACTAGTAAAAGAGCAAAATAATCACTAATTTATTGCTTCTATTCTAAATAATCCTATTTCAAGTGATATTGTTAGCACCATAAAAAGTTGTTATTTACTTTGGTATAAATTGAACAGAGGTGTGAAGGTGTGAAAGGCAACAAAAGACTGTTGTGTTTTAAATGAAAGATGATTGCATTGTATTACAGTTGACTGGTTACTAAACAATAAGATATGACATGAATATATGTTGTAAATATTGTTTGTAAAAAGTATGTTAAAACTATAAAGTTGTAAAAATGTTATAGTAAGTTATGATTTTATTTCTTTGCTGAATAATATTTGCAATTATTTGTTTGACACTGTATTTATTCAAACTGTGATGAATATAATAAAAGTAATGGTACTGATACTTAATTACTTCACCAAAAAATGTACTGGTACTGCAGTACTGAGCTAAAATCTAGTACTGGTACTGTTAATGGTACTGCATAATTTGCCAAATACTGGTACTGGTACTTAAGTACTACACCCTTAGTACTGATGCAGCTCTGCTGGTGACATGTCCGGGGTCCGTACTCGACAGCGAAACCTGCATTTTGTGGCCTTACGAGCGGATGGACCCTCGTTAAGTATAGGCTATAGATAAATAGCATCATTGATAACAACAGAAACTTTGATCTGCATTTTGAACATGAAGTGTAATGTTTTTATGAATGGTTTTAAAGCAATTCAACAAAAAAGTATATTGATCTCCCAATAAATCAATTAACAAAAGATGTTTTTATATATATCATCAATGTCAAATAGCTTTTATATCTTTGACTTGCACGAACATGATGTTAGTGAATTTCCTCATACTTGCCTAATATTCAGGTAACAGTTTTCTATTATATTAATAAATACTGTATCACCATGTAAGGCGTGTATAACAAACAAAATGGTCTTTTTGAAATTCATCCCATTTTTTTCATTCCAGCGTGTGTTCTACTTTCAGTATTACCATTTTCTTCTTAATTTGAAATGAAAAAAATGCATGTGATGTTTCTATATTATAATATTAGTCCCTTTTGTTACTATTTGTATATTTGTTACAATTATAATAATAAAAAAACAGACTTTGATATTTTTATCATCTTATGTTACTGACTACAGAAGTGACACAAACAGAACATAGTACAGTCATGTCACATAACATTTACAAGTCTTGTAAGTCTTGTTTGTATTTGTATTCAATGGAATTACTTTCCTTACCAGGTAGGCATCAGTGAAAGTATTTTTTATATTAAATATCTTTCCCCTCTTTTTAATTGTGGACAGTGCATAAGATAAGTATAATTATGCAAAAAATGGTTTACACAACATTCGAAAAAAATCTACTATAGTACTTAATCTGAATATAACATGACCTGTGCGACGGAATAATTTGGTAAGGTATCTTTAATTAGCGCATTTTATTTGCGCGGAGCTTCTCAATTGCTGCATTGCAGCAACATTTGTACTTGTTTAATTCTGTTTCTCTCGTCAATAATGATGTAAGTATATTTTATCTGGTAAAAAAGTGATCCCTCAGTTGCATTGAAAAGCAAATTTACATGAAAATTGCAGAGCCGGTTCGATTGAGTCTGTATATGACGGATAATGAAAAAGTGCAACATCCCTCATGCCCCCTTGCATCGGATTGAGCGGTACTAAATTCTCAACACTTAAAAGTGCTGGATTTAATGATCCCGAAAGACTATAGAATATAAAAACACTGAAGTGAAGTACGGGGCAACTTTTTACGGCTGCCACAAAGCACTTTACATCTGCTGTTGTGATGTATAAATATCTGGTAAATGAAGTTATCCCGCAGAGCAAATTTACTGAAAATTACGGACATGGTTTGATCATGAAAGCTGTATTTGACGTTGAACATACGTTTCGCTCTATAGTGCACCCAAATTTATGCATTTCTCTGAAGAGGTCTCCACTTTTTTGGTTAAATTTATTTCTTTATTTTCATATGATGAATAGTATTATTTTATAAGACCAGACAATGCTTTTTTTGTAATCTCTTTTTAATTCCATTTTAGATGACTGGATGTAAAGCCGAAATGATAGAAAAGAGTATTGTTATCATTACAAAGAAAATAGAAAACTGCAAGAGACCATAATATATGATTAGAAGTTCAGAAACAAGAAAAAATGTTGAACGTATATTTATTTAAGACAATAACTGTGTAAGTTGCAGAAAGAACATAAACTTCGTGGCGATGTTGTCAGGAAAGTTGAAACCTTCGACTTTCATGTTTAAATCAAGTCTTTAAGTCAAGTGCTAGGGGGCGTGGACGGTAGTTTGCACTTATCAGTACCGTCCATGAACAGGCTCAATCAAACCGAGCCTGCAACATTTCACAATTTTGCCGTGTTGAGCTTTCTTTAGGGATTCTGTTTATCACTATTTTTTTGTGTAAAACAAGACACTTTAAACGTGAAGTAAGGTCCTAGGAAGAATCAAAGGCGTATATGGCCTCCAGATAAATACGTTACCAACATTGTTGTAACAGTAACAGTAATTTTAAGACGTTCTTTTTATGAAAAATGCAAAAACACGACTTGCAAATCTAGTGAAAAGACCATCGAAAACAGCAGGCGAAAGCTTTTTAACCACTATGCAATACTTTGAAAGTTATTGAAAGGATGACATTTTTTTTAATGTGACTAGGTGTAGTCGAACTAATGAGCATTATGAGAGACATAGAGATGTGGAGATCACTTAAATATCTCTTTATATAATAAGGAAGAAAACATAAATAGGTTAAACAAGATGTGATGGCATTCAATTTCAAAGGTGAAATATTTTTTAAAGCAACCTAATTGATACATGACATAAAGTTGACATTTTGTACATATAAAATTCTAATTTTGAACCATTACTATATAACCATTACTATAGACATAACTACAGCTCATTTTCAGCATTTATTCTTCACTTACTTAAGTGTTGTGCAATATAGATCGTTGGAAAATGCTGGCGATGATAAATGAAGTTATTTCTACTAAATAATGTTAAAAGTGATAGTTTGCATAACCATTATTGGTGATATTTGGATGGATGAGACTTTGGTAACGTACAAATATGTTATATGACACAGCAAAAGACTAAATAACGAGTTACTTTCAGAAATTGAGTATATAATACCAGGTGCTGTGTTTGATCCTACGGATTTTAGGGAAAATAACTAAGTTTGTTCTCTTTATTTTCATAAATCTTTCAAAAATAGTTAACAAATGCTAGAATAACGTCAATGTAATTGATGTAACGTATGTTACATTTTGCTTTTAAATTGTCTTAAGTGATTATGTTTCTTTATTTATATAACCTTATGTAATATAAATATTATTTGAACCTCTTTTCAATTGCAAATATTAGGTATTTTTAAGATAAGGCAATTTGAATGTTTTGCATTATTATTATGAGTGGGTGGGGTAATAATCTTGTGTGTCACAAGTGAATAAATAATAAAAGAGGCCAAACCTGTTATTATTCATTGCAAATTCTATTTTTATGAACACCAAATACATGCTGGCTAAAAAACTACCAATCTATAACAGAGAAAGACAAGACAGTCGCCACAATTTAAACATATAACGATATTATATTACGATTTTTATCCCTGGACAGGTACTCTTTAACTACCTGCCATAAGTTTCCGAAGGTATATTTTTTTAGGGTTTTATTACAAGGTCCATGCATATATATTGATTGCAAAATACTAAAGAAAGCTTGTGTTGCATTTTGTTTGATGTCAAGCTACATATACTCATAACTTTTGTGGCCTAATAAAGTTTCTATAGAAGTGTTTTCAAAATGTAAAAAATAAAATATTAAATACATCTTATTACAGAAATAATGTATATTACAAACACAAGGTTTGAAAAATATAACTTTTAAGGTGCTTCTGAGGGATCACTCTTCTTCCAAATTTTTATACTTCACAACAGTAGATTCCAAGTGCCGTGTGGCAGCTGTGAAAGTTGCCCATACTGTTGTATTTTTTGGTCCTTCGGGATAATTGATTCCAGCACTTTAAAGTGTTCGAAGTTAAGAACCGCTCAAGCCAGCGCTAGGGGTGCGGGGAATGATGCACTTATCTATTTTCTTTCACTTACAAACTCAATCAAACCGAGTCTACAATCTTCATATAATAATAATATTTTTGTTGTCATTAATGCTTCCAGATTTTAATACTTCTCAACATCAAGTGTCAAGTGCTGTGTGGAAGCTGTATAACGTTGCTTCGTACTTCACTTCAGTGTTGTTTTATTTCTCTGGTCCTTGGGGATAATTGATTCCAGCACTTTAAAGTGTTGGAAATTAAATACTGCTCAAGCAAGCGCTGAGGGCGTGAGGGATAGTGCACCTATTTATTATCCTTCATGTACAAACTCAATCAAACCAAGTCTACAATTTTTCATGTAGTTTTGTTATGATTAATGCTTCCGGGTGATCAGTTTCTTCCAGATGTCTATACATTACAACAGCAAGTGTCAAGTGCTGTTTGGTAGTTGTAAAACGTCGAACCGTACTTCACGTCATTTTTGTTGTATTTTTCTGGTCCTTCAGGATCATTAATTTATTGATAGTAAATAAGTGTGCTGGTAAATGGTTACATATCATGGGATAAAAATGAACAACCATTTAATGTTTGTTAGCCTTAATGTGGCCTTTTACATGTCTATTTGAGCTTAACATGAGATGCTTGCATTAATGATGACAGGAAAACCACAATGTTTTAAGCAAATTTCTGAAAATAAAATGTTCATAATATATCTAGTGAGTATATTGTATTAACTATAAACCCTGTACATAAGTTATATAAATAACAGATGTCATAATTTTCTGCAGATGAATTACAGTCGTAACAGTTACCTATATAGGAACCACTATTAAATATTATTTTCTGAAACTTATTGTTTTGAGCATTGTTTAGTTTATATGGTCCGTTTTTGTGAACCCTTATCTACCTTTCTCATTTTACTTATGTAAGCGATATTTACCTACTTAATGACCCGTTGCTAATGTTGAGAGAACTTGTGGTCAGAGTTTTATACCATATTTTGTAACGTTTTTACATGTATGTAGATGTGTATATATGTTTCTTTTTTCTGCATTAAAATATGTTTAAATCATTCTATTTTATCATTTTTTGATGAGGAATGTTAAATTTAATATTTTCAACAATTTATTGATTAAGGCAAAACAGCTGGACCAGAAACAGAAAACATGGTAAAAGAGTTTATCCAGGCTTGGGATCTCGTAAGACTGTCATTAAAAAAGCACGGTGAATATATTGTATTTTGTTATCTCAATTAATAATATTTAAAAATCAAATATTGAATCTAGTTAGCCGAATTTTTAATCGTTTATACGTTTCATATTTATGTTAATTTAACGTATTTCATTTTAGTCCAAATTGTACTTAACATTTACATGACTTAAATATGCTGGATCAGTTTAGAAAATATTTGTTACAGGTTTTATCTTTTATAATGTCAATCTTGATTATTCTTTGTTTATTTAGATATTTGTAGATGGTCTCTGATTAAACAAATTATTGATACTATATAGACATAATTAACTTATACTTAACTGCGGTGTCTTTAAGTGTGTCCGACTGATACCGGAGGAGTTGTAGTGCCAGAGCATTTATGCAATATGCAAGTAACTGACAAAACACCAGTTTCAGTTTTGTTACCTTCGACGAAAGGACTTGGTCTTTGCTCCTTTGCTCTACTTGACTTTTTGCTTCGAAAAGTGCAGAATGGCTTTTTGGACAATTACTTAAGGGAGACAAAAAGGTGCCAAGTTATACACTTATCTTCTTTCATGTAAATTTAACAAATGATATACAAACCCTTGTGTAAAATACGACAACAACATATAAAATGCAAATAAAATATAAATACAATAAATGCTTGAACTTTGAAACGGGTTGTACACGTCTATTAGAGAGTAAAGTCAGGATAAGACATGTACTTAAAACTGTCAATATTTAAGTCTTTGTATGAAAAGTTTTATAAAATGATAATGATTAATGTAAAAAGATATGAACATTTACTAGAATGATGACAAGCATAATCTTGCAATACCAGTAAAAAATATAATTGACCTTATATTGCAGAAAATACAGCAGTTTCTTGTCTGTTAAACCAAAGGAACTTACATCAGCTCACCTTATTTGCTACGATCCACATCAGGATCTACTGTCACTGATACTAGCTAATTGCCAGTACTCGTTTGAAATGGGAAAAGGTACAACCGTCGAATACGATTTCAACGGCCTAGAGAGACAGATCATAGACAGGTTCCTACTATCAAAATCAAGAATTGATGTCGGACCGGTTCTTCAGGTATAGAAATCATTTCAGGAATATCTGACGTTAAAAAGAGAACATTGTCTAAGATTCCTAATAATACTAATGTTTTCTTGCTACATTATAACATTATCAACATATGGCTTGATTATCACGTTAGTGTGTAAATGATTTGCGTTGATTATATTAAGAACTCTCAAGTACACCATATCTAACAAATATTGCATCTATCTAACATCTAGATCGATATGATGGTATATCGGACAGAAGTTACCAATTCTAAAGTTTTCAAGGAATTAGCGGAGAAAATTAAACAGGTAGGATTTTCCTTATTCCAAAACAATATTGAGCAAAAATAATCAAAAGGGACAATACACTTGGATCTAGAAAATTGTGAAAATAAGTCATTTAACTGTATGTCGTACATCACCCAAATTCGAATGATATATTTTGATTTTCTTTAAAAAAAAACACTTACATGTTCCTGATGCACTATAAGCCTTTATATTAAGACTGCAGAAAATGGTTATGTGTTAAAATCTGGAATTGTCTTAGATTAAAGATTAAATGAAGGGTCAATCAAAATGAAGTCGTTTATTTTAATTTTCCAAATAGTGTAAGGCTTGATTAAATGCTTATTCTGGAGTGGTGTGTTAATTGCATTAAGTAGTAATTTTAGTTAAATGCCTTCATCTGTCTAAGTAGATACAATTGTACTGGCTTTCCCATCATTATTTAACTTAACCAAAAAGTAACTTCTGTTTAAAATTTGAAAATATATTATACATTTCTAGTCTCCTTTATCGGCTGCCGTGAAGACTCAAGTATCAGGGGAAATAAAATCGTACACAGATATTTGTGATTCTCTTGTAAATATGGACATTGTGATATCTTTCCTCAAATCAACAGGGGGAAAACAAGACCAAAATCTGCATACTTTTATGTCAGATATTCTACGGATGGGCACGTCGATCGCAAGTCGCACGGTAATTTGTTTTTCAATGTCTTTCAATTGAAATTGTTAAGCACATTAACAAATTATCTTAATGAAAACGTTTTTCTTAAAATTGTCAAATGTTAATACTTAGTTCCATTTACTTAATGCTAAACTTATATTCCAGACGATTGTTTTAGCATACTTTGGATATCGTGTCTTATGGTTCTTTCATTTCACCGTGAAATCGCAAGAAAATCTGATATTTTTCAATTTTCAAGGCGTTGTAAAATTCATTGCTACGGAGCTTTCATTGCGTTCTATTGCAATTGGTCCGAGTTTTTGTCAGCAAACACATCGGCATCCCATATTTGGTTTAACGGCGGTCAATATGCGCTTTCAGTGCCGATAGATTTTTGCAATTTGAACATCTCGGCTATTATCAATAATAACATAGGAGTTAATACGGATTTAAAGTAATTCTATCACGTTTTATATGTAAACAAAAACAGAGGCTGTGTGTAATCTTTAATAATGTATAACGAATGTATCTATTGACATTCAAATAAAAAAGAAGACTAAGTCGGTGAAATTATAATTGAATTTATGTCTGTCTGACAATCACAATCAAACTGATGGCCTATTATAGAACCAAATTCGATATTAAAGTAGTCTTCAACTCCTTGCATTAAACTACTATCTGTTAACACGATTAGTTTCTTAGTGTAGATTAGACCAAAATACCGTATTCGTATTGTGTAATCTTACTATTGTGTTCGATGTTCTTATCCGAAATTTTACAAAAAGGGGCAGAAAATAGAGTTTGAAATTTTGTCAAAGACAAAGCGACATCTCAGAAAAAGCCCAGCAAATCTTACTCTGTGCTAACAAAACGCTGAACACGTCGTTGGTCGGTGTTCTATGTAATGTAAACCGCCTACAAGTGATACCAATGTTTTTCTGCAAGAATGATTACTTTGCGTTCTAAATAATAAATGGTCACAAAAGAGCCATATTTAATAGATTATAGCAAATAGGCACAGTATATTCATTATTATTTGTGTTTAATAGCCGTATAAATATTTGAATTCTAAATATCAACTTTTTGTAAAGTATGTATTCTATTTTAGGCGCAGCAGGTATGCGAGTTTCAACATTGTAAATCGATGTGGCTACATCTGACACTTCTGAAATCAAAGATGATGGTTGACAACAACAAAGCTTTGTCGGTAATGATAAAAGAACTGTCTTTATCCAGTTTATATAAATATTGAACTTAATACTTACTTTGAACGAAAAAGCGATTAAGTATGTCGATCAAAGATGATGTTTGTCCTTTGGTGAAGCTTTGGTTCGACTTTTTCTTGATTCCTTCTTTTTATGACCCGGGTATATAGTGATTGAGTCGTCCGTCCGGCTATCGTACGAAGTCAACCTTAACCGGAAGGTTGGATTTATCTTAAGTTCTACCTATACCAAGGGCTTCATAATGTAGACACTAACTTATCAATACAAAGTGTATGGTCTTGGCAAGTGACATAACTATGGCTTCCTTTTTTATTTATTGCCTTTTTAGGCACTTTGAAAATAGATATGGTTAGCCTACACCAGCAAGTTAAATATATTCAATGTTCTATCAGTAATTATGGCTTCATAATTTCCACTCTTATTTATTCATACAAAGTACATGTTGTCGCTAATTTATATAACTGGGTCATTCATATGTCAGTCATTTCCCTCTTTACCACGTTGTAAATAGGGCCTTGTATGGTTAATATTATTCTATTCCGGCAAGTATGATTCAGATTTAAAATATCACATAATTATTTCATATATTTCATGATATCTTCCATATTTGGTTGATGGATACCTTCAATTGTCCTCGTACTTTTTGTTAAGTCAGGGGTCAAGGTCACTGGTGTAAAAGATAAATGTTATACATATTTGCTCATACAGCCTTTGATTTTGAATAAATGTCTTTCATGTTTAATACTGGCATGCCTAGGAACGTCCTCTTCATTCGCCTTTAGTTATGGGTCATTTTTGGTCCAGGTCACCAATGCCAAAAATATTTTTACACTTTTACAGGTGTAACTAACTCTTTTGTCAAATGTCCTTTATATCTTTTACGTATATTTACATAATAAATGAATACTTTTTATCCAAAGTTGTATATTTGGCAAAATTTGAAAAACCGTCTACCTTTGGAAGAGAGAGGTTTAAGTTAGGTCAATGTCACCAGTGCAAATACTAGATTTCTTTACATTTGTTCATACAGCCTTTATTGATTGGCCAATATTTTTATATTCTGTTGTATGATATCATGGATGGTCTCCTTACTTTTTGGATTGGTCATTTGGATCAACGTCATCAGTGATAAAAATAGATGTAAAGACGTTTGCCCATACAGCCTCTATTTTTCGATAGTTGACTATCATATTTTATAGGAAGATAACTGGCATGGCTTTCTTCTTTTAGATTGAAAAAAGGGGTCAGTGGCTCAAAGTCAATAATGACAGAAAAGATTCTAAACATTTGCTTGTACAGTTTTAATCTATTGATGATATTTCCATATTTCGAAGGAACATACTTAGGTGTTCTAGTGTTGATAGTCACAAGGTCAAGGTCACTTTTGCTAACAATAGATTTTTTACACTTTCTATTCAGCCCTTGTAATTCCTTTTTACAATTGTCTCAAGTTTAGAAGTAACATATCTCAGGTGGTCCTTAAAGTTTGGGTCTGGGCCTGGAGCATTGTGTTTAACAAACTCGTTCTCCTATTGAACTCTAAATTTTGAAGAATTGTGTCATCTTGTGTCAAATTACAAACAGCAATGTTTGAATGTTTGTGTACATACTAATATACGTATATTTTCATAATAAATACATATGTGTGTGTACATACTCATAGACGTATATTTGCATAATAAATAAATATATTTTTAATTTGATTTTTTTCATATGTAAGTCAATATTTGAGAGCGTGCAAGCTTCTTACCATAACAATTTGACGCCAGAAATGGACAAAGAACTTGTTACTTTCTTGAGAGAGTATACAGTTGAGAAACTTACTCCTTTTGTGGAAATATTGCATGAATATATACTCATACATCTGGCTGTTGAGGACAACACTAATGATGAAGACTATATGGATATCAAGGATAAATTGTAAGACATTGAACACATCTTGTTCCTTTATTTTAATTAAAATTCGTATAGATAACATGTAAGCCATCAATTTTATTATTTTGAAATTGAACCACGGTATAGCTGCTCTAATTATCCCCCGTCACAGGCTTATGGAAATAGATTTGGCGATATTCTTCTGTACATCTGTCTGGTTGTACATACAATACTTTATTATCTTCATTTCGCCTATAATCGTAGTAAAACAGAGGAAAACAACATAAACCACAAGTTTATGTGGTATGTTTATTTGAGAAATGCCACTTAAGATAAAAGGATATGCCTGTTAAAGATGAATGAAATGCCCATAAATGTGGTAACACCAGTAGAAGTGCAGTAACAACTTTTGTCAATTTTTAAATGGTTGTCATTTGTAACTTTTTCATGCTTTATTATGTCTAAGGCATTTCTAAAAATATCGGATGTGTTACAAAAGGATACATCTCACAGACAAAGTGCAGCGTTAAGAAGAATTCCTCTCCATTGCATGATATTAGAGATGATGTTCTTTTTTTATTTCTCAAATCAAAGTTTATAGTGATACAGTTGTCTGAATTTAAATTATGGACTTGAAAGATGCGTTATTCATTGTCAACGTCTGGCCAAATGATTTTTAGCAGGAGATCCGAAATCAATCCGGCACACCTGTTTAATCGACGACTTTTTCATTTAGAATTTTATATGTTAAGTAATTGCAACATTGTCAATTTAGATAGAATCTCTTTCCTTTTTTGTCTCCTGTATTTTCAGTTCCGAGTAGATTTTGCCTTATTATCCAAAACACATGTCTATAAAATACGGAGCCGATGAGGCGTTTAAATACACTGTTCTTTTTGAAGACCCATACGAACACCCATTACCGGACATTTTGCCACACAATTATCTTTATCTATTTGTTATGTTCAATCGTTTTTTTCTTGTCTTCAAGATTGCGTGACTACTTGTACGTATACATTGAAGAGTTGGACATTGAAGAAGGTACAGATATTGTACCTGACTTACCTCCGGTGGTTTTGAACATGCATAGTCTTCCACTATGGATATTGGCGTATAATGTTCTCCGTGAGAAACAAACAGGTGATAGGAGAGTTTAATTTGAATGAAAAAAATCATTCAATGAGGTAAACTCTTGACGCTAAAGACAGACAATTGTTTGACATTGATTTTTCAGTTGATCTTTTCTTACCTAAATATGATTTCAATTCAATGGATGATTTTTCGAAAATTAAAATATGCTGATTATGTAATGTGTTTTAATATATATATTTTAGATATTACTCATATTTCTGAATAAATGATGATGATGTGAAATAACTAGTTGAGAATGTCTGCTTACTGAGTTGTAAAGATATTTTATGTCGTTTGTTTCAATATCTATTCAACTGTAACTTGAGTACACATGTTGGTTGCAAAATACGCAAAATAGTATCAGTTATAATCTTTTGACTTTGTAGAAATATTATAACATGCATATTTGTAAATATTTTAGTTATGTTGACATAGCGAATCTTTCTGTATGTTTTTCCTAAATCATAATGAAATGTATATATTTGTGTTGCATATTTACACTTTATGCCGTGATTATATTTAAATGGTGAGCATGTATGCCTTCATTTTTGTTTGCTGTTTAATTTGAGGGTAGTTTTTCTGAAATTCGAAAATTTTCTATCTATTGAAATTAAATCTTTCAGTATGGCCGATATTTACCAATGATTTTTTAACTGATGTTCACCACATTACATGTAAATGCATGCCCTGGCAAGTGTGTGTGTTTAAAAATATGTATTGTTATCTTTATACATAATAAAGCAAAAGGGAACCTGTGTCGATGTGAATGTAGGTAAATTTGAAGAGTTTCTAGATACTTTTTTATTATGGTGTTGGTGTTTAGTGTTTAGATACTGAGTATTGAAATGAATGAGGATGCTGTGTCTTTGTAATTGAAATCACTACATTAGACTGGTTGCTATTTTGATAGATATCCTATGCATCTTTGAAAATACATTGGTGTTTATCTCATGTTAATGTTATGATATCATTTCTTGTTTTGTTATCAATATGTATGATTCTTAACGTTTCGATTTATCTTTATGTTATTGTTTTTATCTTTTAATCATTATGAAATATCATTATAGTTGTCTGACTTCACAAAATTCCTGAACCCTTTTTATTGCAATCATGTTTTCATCAGACAGTTGTTGTTAAACTTGCAGATATCAAAATGTGTTTGTCAAGAGAAACGTTGCCGTGCGATCTAGTAAATTTCTATGTAATATAAATATTTCAGTGTGGCCGATGTTTGCCAATCATGTTTGAAATATTTAACGCTGACTTAAGGCTATAATTTTGTTTTAATACCTGTCTGAATCTTTATGCTATATGTAACTTCATCATTTTGTTTAAGAAAGGTTAATTCATCTTTAATGTTAACATGATTATGTTGTTATTATTTAGATGTTGTAGATTTCATACGTAAACATAATGATGTGTCCACTAGTAAAGAATGACTAGGCTTTTAATATATTTTACCATCTCATGTGTGTCACATAATTATCACGCAAAAACGTGTAAAATTTCAAATTGAATCTTCTATATGTTACGGTTCTGGAACTAGATTCGTATAACATGCATCTTTGCAAAATATGCCGGATATTTTCCTCTCATATTTGATTGAGTTTATGTTGTTTTTATATACCATAATGAAAAACATTTTGTGTTGCATGTTCACATTTAATGACCTTGTTCTATTACGCGTTATCGTATAATGCTTTTTTTATCCAACTGTAAACGTGTGTTTATCTTGAGGACCTCTATTGAGACTGAATGTTCGAGTATGGCCGATATTTGATAATTGATGTTTGAACTTCTATTCAACGCATAGAACGTATGATTTAACACTATTAAAATGAGCTGGTCAGAGGATGATGTTTGAGGGGATTAAATGTTAACATAATTATTATTGATAAATGTTTGAAATTTGTTTTTTGAATTAACAGAGAAATAAGTACATGCATTGTATGTGAGTATTTATATAGGCTTTTGAATGCTTTCCTATGACAATTAGATGAACGAACAATTGTTTAGAGGGGATTGAATGTTAACATTATTATTATTGATATATGTTGCATAGAACTTTTGAGATTTGTTTTTTTAATTAACAGAGAAAGTAATACATGTATTGTATGTCAGTATTTATATAGGCATTTGAATGCATTCCTATGACAATTAGATGAACGAACAATTGTTTTAAGGGGATTAAATGTTAACACTATTATCATTGATATTTGTTTCATAGAATTCTGTGAATTTTGTTCTCGAATTTACAGAGTAATCAGTGAATGCATTATAAGTTAGTATTCATGTAGGCATTTGAATGCATTCCTATGACAATTAAATGAACAAACAATTGTTTAGAGGAGAATGCCAACTCGTCAATATTTTTTTATTATTGTAAGAAAAAATCTTGCAACAGAACCGATGTTTACCAAATGAAAAACAACGAAGGCACATTTATTTGTGACTCTGGTCAGTGTTAGCGATTGCTAAGGTGAGATTGCTTTTTTAAATTAATTTTATCATTTAATGATAGTTTTTCATTTAATTATAGGTTATTGAGAATGTCGTTGGGCTGCAATCATGTTGTTTTGTTGGCTTTGCAAATGTTAATGTTTTCGATATGAACCATATGAAGGATAACAGTTTTTTCAAATTGCTAGGGAAACACATACATTGGCAATATCAAATCCATAAAGAAAAAGATAAAAATTTGTTTGTGCAGAAAATTAATAATTTGCAGTTCTTTTTTACTTTTGTACTTTTTGCATTAATAACAAATGTGTTTAATCAAGTTTGACATTATCCTGTACATATTTTATTAGTAACCATTATTGTATATATACATGTAATTGTATGTTAAAAACGAGTTTTATTATCTTTATATATGTAAAAGGGAAAGTAAACTTGTCTTGAGGGGAACGTCGTTCACCGCGGCAAAATCTCTTACTATATAAAAGAAAATCTGCCAGCAGAACCGATGTTTGCCAAATGAAGGACATCTTTACTTGTAACTCTTTTTTATAAAATACTGATAACTTTATCAATAACTATAGCACCATATTAGATAGAAGTATATTTTGCTAAACAAAAAATTACAAGTTTGTTTGTCCAAAATAATGTTGTATTGAGGAAAATTTTATTTGACTTAGCAAAACATCTAAAATATTGTCAGAGGAAATATGTCAATGTTCTCGATATTTGCAAAATGAATGAAACACTCTATTAAATTGCTAGGTAAAAACCTAGCATTGACAATATTCAGTCTATAAAGAAAGTGATTTTGGAAATAACATTTTTTTAAAAGAAGATTATTTACATTATGCCCTTTGCTACTTAAAAAATAATAACAAATCTGTGTAAAGAGATTTGAAAAGATTATATACATCTATTGTTAGTAAGCATTAATGTATATACATGTAGTTGTGTGTTTAAAAGAGATTGTTTGTGTAAATGCTTATTAAAGGGAAGTAAACTTGTCTTGAGGGGAATGTCGTTCACCGCGGCAAGATCCTTTACTATCTAAAAGAAAATCTGTCGCAGAACCGATGTTTGTCAAATGAAGGACACCTTTACTTGTGATACTATTGATTTTATTTTACTGATATTTTAGCGATACCAAAGGCGCTTTATCAGTTGGAGGTTTGTTATACAAAAGTAAATGTAGTTGACAATCTCGTTTGACTGAAATAATGTTGTCTTGAGGAAAATACTGGTTGAATTGATAAGATATATAAATATCGTTTGACGAAAACTGTCAATGTTTCGGTATTTGCCAAATGAAGGACAACACTGTTTTAAATTGATAGTTTAAAATGTCATTGGAAATTTCAAACCGTTATAAAAGAAATAGTAACCTGTTTCTTGTTTTTTCTTTTTGTTTGTTTTGTTTTGTTTTTCTCATAAATAGATTTTTGTGCTTTTGGTCGTGTGTTTTAATTTTTTTTTAAATATTATGTATGTTAATATTTTAGTATTTAGCATTTATATATAAACATGTAATCAACAAGTATTTTTTATCTATATGCACATTTCAAGAGCGAAAATGTAAACTTGTCTTGAGGGGAATTCGAGTCAACGCGGCAAGATCTCCTACTATTTAAGAGGAAATCTGCCCACAGAACCGAAGTTTGCCAAATGAAGGACATGTTTACACGTAACTCTGATTTTATTCTTCTGATAATATTAGCTATAACTAACGCGATGAAAAAAGTTGACTCTTTAATTTTGTTTGACTGAATTGATATTGGCTTGAGTTAAATACTGATAAACCTCGCACGAATTTTAAGTATACTACATTTTCTAGCAGGACCGGTATTTACGTTTTGTTATTAGACAGACAATATTTAACTAGTTATGCAACTTATGGCAGACAAATTTGTAGCAGAAATTTTATCAACCTAGTTGTACAATTTGCAATCTATAATCATCACAAAGCTTTCCGGCAGAAAGAATGTAGTCTTGCTCTAATTGGTATGACCTCCAACTATTGTCGGAAATATTAGTTATTATTACCAATTTAATTTGCAAAATGAAGAGAAATTGTGTTATAACGTGCATTTTATATGTTGTTTTTACTTTACATTGACATGGTACAAACAAAAGAGCATTACATATACACTATTGTATACCAAATACATACATGTATCAGAATACATGTTCATACAATGATATGTCTAAAATAAACATATCTTAAATTGTAAGAGTAAAAATAAGATTATACAGCACACTATTGTATAAATATGTACATTAGCGCATATTTCGTATACAATAATGCTATCGTGGACCATATTTTGTATATTGGAGGCGAGCATTCATGACATTTGTGATAGGTATGATAAATAAATGGGAAAACTCAAAATATTTTAGTAAATGCTTTTTCATAATTCGGTAGCAGATGTCAGTGAATAAGGCATTATGAACATGTTATTCAATAGTGTACCTGTCTTATCAAAACATATATTAGATAATAGTTTTATGTTTTATTATATAATCTTTAAAGTGTAATCTTCATAATAAACATATTAGACAAAACATGTATGTCTTCTTTATGCCCTATGTCTAGCGATGTTGTTGAAGTTGTTAAATACAAATATTTGTATTTAACAAAGATATGTGAACAAAGACAATTTGTGTTCAGTAAAGAGTATCAATTTCATTTTTATAATGCAAGAGAAAAGCTTGGGGGACCGGAAAATATGTTAATCATTTATATTGAATTATAAAAGTATGACCCATTTTGAACGTCCATTATTAATACAATATAGATATTTATATGGATATCAAATATTGCTCATCAAAATAACAAATGTTTCATGTTCGAGGAAGAAACGGACCGGAAGAAACAAATTTACTAAACTATATACTCCTACGAAACAGTGTTTTATATTTATTTATGTATCAATATATCCTCTCTCTTATTTAACCCAATGTGACCATTTCAGACGATTCCTAATTACTAATCGTCTGCGAAAAAAGCTCAACATAGCTGTTCGACACTTTATCTTGATGTGATGTTTGAAAGTCAGATTTTCGTCCAAATATGCCCCTAGATATCTGATCGAATTTTGTCGTTTGATCTTATCACCACAGATGTTAATTTCATCTTTAGACAGTTTACGCAACTGAGGAGCACTTCCGAAAATTATGTGTTCAGTTTTTGAAGAATTCATTTTTAATTTATTACTGTTCATCCAATCATTTGCTTGTGTTGCGAACTCTTCTAGTTCCGCAATGGATTCGGCCTCGAGAGCGGGTGTAGGTTTGAAACATTTGCTGGCAGTATGATCGTCGGCGAAGCCGTACACGGAGATGGTAGGGGTAACAATGTCAAATATGGTCCCTGCATACGCGAGGTAGAGCCACGGCCCTAAACAGCTTCCATGGTGGACACTGCACGTAAGATCACGCGCTGAAGACATTATATTGTTCACACTTACGCGACAACTCCTGGGTCGCAGGTACGAGTCCAACCAGTCAAGTGCAACTCCACAGATACCATACTGACGATTGAGAACGTCGAGAAGGATGTCGAGGCTGAAGGCCTCGGGGCCATTATTCATTTTGCGGGCCGATTATCACCTTCCGGTCCTACTCTGCCGTGTATTAATCTCTTATTATTACACTCTTGCGCCGCGGTTACGTGATAAAAGATTATGACCCTACTATTTTAAGAGATATCACATGCTTAGTGTTCAGTCCGTTTAAAGTTGGACACTACACTTCTCTCTTTTTATAACATCTGACGGAGCAAGTGGGAGACTAAGATGTACAGATTTAAAAACCCATCGAGACTGAATTGTCTTAATTCTGGCTTGCTTTGTTGGGCCCTTGAAAGGGATTTTTTTAGTTGCTCTGTCTTCCTTTGAGACATTTAGTAATGTTATTATGATTATTGTCTTTACTGTTATATGAATCGACATGTGCATTTCTTTGTTTACTTATTTTACCCTTTGTAACCATAACATGTTACAATTGTATATGGCGGGGATTCATTTTATTTACATTGTCTCGTTTAAAAGGAACATGGTGGTGCTAAGTATGAGATTGTATGCACCATTTACCGGTTTAAACTCCCAAGCAGTGCTTATGCTGCCGACGGTTCAAAGGCGGCGCCCCTCTGTGTTCCTCAGATATTTGTGTCGTATGTCTTGTTTGTTGTCTCATACTATTATGGTGTGGTTTTTTGTCCCTTCTTGTTGTTTTCTCGTCTAGGTAAGTATCTTCACTTTGCCCCTAGTTTTGTTTTATTATTTAAATATTGCCGCCCCATTTACCAACCCCTTAAATCCCTTTACATTTGAAGACCTATTAATAGATCGTCTTCTTTAATTTCCTTGTCAGTTTCTATCATTTCCTATGATGTATTATTAAAGAAATCACCCCGTCCGTGCTTTGCCTTCTGCCCAGCTCTGTTGTTGGGTGTCTTACATGGCTCTACGAAGTATTTTAATGTTTCCTACCAGTATTGTCGCAGAAATTGAGCATACTGTATCAATAGTTACAGTTAGATATGAACACATTTTTAGTTCGTAAGCATTAAATAAAAGTATTTTACATGCAAACTGTTGGCAAATTAAATAGGTATCAGAGCTTGAAATTGAAAAAAAACCTTAGCTCATTATCCAAAGACTGGTGATTTTTAATAAGTTTGCAGCAACTCTAATCCAGCTAAATGCTTTAATATCAATACAATTGAATAAATGACATTTGCCTTTGCTGTGAAAAGCATAGAAATAGTGAAAAACAGAATCCCTAAAGAAAGCCAAACACGGCAAAATTCTTAAATGTTGCAGGCTCGGTTTGATTGAGTTTGTCTAGAGTGGCACTCGCTTCCAACTACGTATTTATAAATCTACAATTGTTTAATAAATTTGGCCAGGGTTTTCTTAATAATGGTCGGTTAGATCGATTCGATAATCACCTGCTTCTCATGACTTTATCGATTTATCTTTTAGAGATTTTTATAAGATTTAATGTTCTTGAACTATAATCAAAATGATGGTTATATTCCCTTATTTTGCCGTGATGAAGAATATACGAATATTTATTCTGACAAGAAAAGAAACAACATGGATGCAACTAACCCATATATTTGCAAACCGATTGATTTGTTTATGAAACGAACAGTCGAAGCATCAATAGCATGACATTGAACCTTGATTTGGAAGCGATGTCATAAATCGACTTTCCATGTATCATAACCTACGAATCTTTTAAACATTTTTCCATCAAGTTTCAAGTTAATTGTAATGTAATTCCAGGCCATCGGCCCAAATACACAATATAATAACAGAAAGATACATATACATCTGATTGTGTCGCAAGTTATGAAATACAAAATAGTAGCATATTCCATAATTTTTTTAAAATTGTAAACAAGGAAATAACATATTACCACAACCTTAAGAAAACCCCCCAACAATCCAAAGAAAAAATAAAAAAAAAAATAAAATTTTCCCTTTTTTTGCATGAAAAAAAAAAAAAAAAATCCTTTTTTTTTAAAACACTAACAAAAGACATTCATTAAATTCTAGAAAAAAAAAAAAATTTGAAACTAAAAATTTATCAATAAAAAATATTAAGTTTTTGGTTACATACAACAAACTTTTTTAAAGTAGGGTATATTGGTTTTCATTAAGTAAGAAATTTAAATGGTTCTAGTCTTCCTTTTACCAAAATTTAAACAGATTTTTGTGTCTTTTATACTACAAACTCGGGCAAATAAAAAAGGCATGATATTCATTTTTAATAACTAAAAAGGGTTACTATTAAAAAAAACAATTGGGCAATTCTTCTGATCTCTCAAACCCTAAGGCCCCAATTTTTATTTTAACCATAATTTTAAAATTCTAAACCCCAAAATTTCCAAAAAAATGGCACATATTAAAATTTTTAACATTTAATAAAGATTAAATGAGTTTTTACCATCTAGAAGGAATTTCGCAGACCAATTTTTGTTCCCAAACAGTCAGCAATACGTTTTTAAAAGAAATTATAAACATATTAAAATCTCCCCTATCTTTGGCTACCAAAAATAACCATAAAAACCCTATTTTTATAAAATTCGTGTACTTGTAACCCATTTTTTTCCCATTTATCTTGCAACTTTAAATATTGTAAAGCTTCTTGGGGTAACGCTCCTGGATCTGTAAAGTTTACACCCAAAATTTGAGGGATTTTTTGGAAAAATTAGATAAAGGAAGCACCAAAATTCACCTAATGCCATATATTTTAAAGGAATCGTTTTCACCTAAAAAGTACACAAATTTTAATTTTCCCCTTTTTTTCCCTTTGGGGAATACAAAACCCCAAATTTTTTCCGTTTCAGTATCGGAACTATCAGGAATCAAAAAACTTAAAGATTCTTTATTGAATTACAAATGTAATTTTATAAGTCTGATTGCAAATGTGGCTTTCTAGCCTGTCAGCTAGCCTACTTTTGGGTAGCCAAATTTTTTTGGGGTAAAAAAAGCCCATTACTTATATATCGAATTTCCTTTACTTTAGACCCATTGAATTCCATTTTCAAAATGACGTAGGACCGCCTTTCGAAATCCATTTTTTTCCGTTTTACAATTTTTACGCTTTCCAACTTACAAATTGGGAACCCCTTTATTAAATTTGGATTTTTGTACTATCCCCCCCACCAACGTCGTCTGAAAAAAAGTAAATAAAATCTGGTATACACCTGATAAATTACCGTTACATTTTCTCCAAGTGAGTTTTTAAGTCATTAAGTATAAGGAAAATACTGGGCAATTTAAACGTCTCCTTTCTCGTGCCGATGTTACACCTGATCGGACCGGAGATACGATCACATCTAATATATTTTCCCGCTATTCATTTAAAGATGGTATATAATAAATTAAACGATGTATTTTGATACTTTTGATGTTAATTTTTTCTAACTTTGAATACATTGAAATTAGAACTTTAATTAAATTTCCATTTGCACCCTTACTTAAAAATGTTATAAAATATTAATAATGTACCCAGGGGAGTCGAAATGCCTTTTTAAAGTCTATATAAAGAACATAGAATCTTACCTTGTGGCCCTTGAAATGTACTTTTGAATCATGCCTGAAGTTAAAAAATGTTATCAACAACGGAAATATCCGGATCTAAAACCAGCTTGAGCTTTCAATCAATGATATCAAAATGATTTGTCCATTTATCTAACCTTTTTCCTTAATAATGTTCGAAATATTTTGTAAATAACAATCCATTACATGAATATCCCTCTGTAAGGGAGGGTTTTTTCTATGCCTTTTTAATAAAACTAACTTTGACACCATGCGGGGAAATTACCTTTATCATTTTAGAAAAATCTACAAAAAAATGGGGTATAAAAAAGTATTTTTTAGAATCGGCCTTATCCCGTTTTTCCTTTGACATTTTCCTACATTTTAGTCTGAAATTGATTTTTGTTATTATTCAACTGTAACTTCAAATTAAAAATTTTGTCTGTTATTTCATCATTTTGAAAAATCTTTTACTGTTTTTTTAATTCAAAACGGAATTTTTTTCTTGAA